TACAGAGCGAAACTGACACTCTCTTTCTTTCTATCTCACACTCCTTCCTCTTTCTTTATCACACACAAAAACGCGATACTGATCCTCGCGTTGGGGATTTAGGCAGTTCCTTTTCTTTTTATCAACACTTTTTGTCACTCACTGAGAGACGGAGCTCCTTAATTGAATTATGTGCACACGCTTAGCATTTTTCGGCGTAGTTATCTTATTGGATTCCAAGCATACAGCTCACTCACAACTTGTTGTTGCCTACGCGCTTGTGTGTGTTCGTGCTCAAACTAGCAGGTAAAGAACCGTCTCTGTGTCAGTGCGCGCGTCGCTGTGTATGTTGGTAAGGCACTTTGATTGGGTACTAAAAAGCAAGTTGAAAACCACTTGTTGCACTAATTTTTATCACCCACAACAGCTGTGTGCAGCTGACACAAGAACGCTAGCAATTTCACAGCGTATTTTAAGCAAAAAAAAACACGTTTTCGTATGTTCAAACGGCACAATTTGGTGTACGGAGGTTTTTGGAGCGATGATGACAACGCGAACGCGACTTCAGGTGTGCCTTCGATTGCGATACCGATTGCCTAGACCGATTGGCTGTTGTGTGAATGGCAATAACAACTGTAATTAATCTGTTAAGATAGATATGGACAGCAGCTGTATGTTAACAGTGCCGAATTGAGTTAACAGTCAGTTAATCTAAAACTATGTGGCGCGCAGTTTGAACGCAATAGTTGGCGTGAATATTAGTGTGACCAGCAAGTGTAAAATAAAAGTGGCAATCTAAGTTAACAGCTACTAGAGCAGCGCGCAATTCGAATGTTATACTGTTAAAATGATTATTACGTTATAATGCGCATCAATAGCGGCAACTATGAATCATTCAAATTGATGGGCCAATCGCTTTAGTATTCATGCAGAATTTTAGTAATCGTCAACTGCAACAATGTGAAACATTGATAACACACCTTGATGATATTTCCACATATGTATGCTTATGACTGATATATAAATCACATTTTACTACATCGGGGAAAGGCAAATCACGCACTCGAGCCATAAATTGCAAATGCTAATGCAACACGCGTTCATAATATTCGACGCAGATTGACAATCTACTATATGCTGATCGGTCACCTGGCTAATTGATCATATGCAAAATGCCCGATGCCCGATATTGAAGAAACGTTGTAGCCCGCAGGCTAGTGACAATTTTTCTGACACCACTCTACAGGTTAAGGCTCCCTGTCTCTCTCTCTCCCCCTTTCTGTCTCTTGACGGGGTGTTAGGTGTACATGGCGCCGTCTCTGCTACTCCAGCTGATGTCGGACATAATTGAACGCATCCGTTGCTCAACTTGTTGCCGCTAATTAAAGTTGATCGACGGCCGGACTGGCAGGGAGACGGACAGGGGAGAGGGGTCAAAGCACACACTTAATGTAAACATTTATAACTGCTGCGTTTATTCAATTAAAAACGCACTGATTTGGCTCGACTGCTGCGCTCCTCAACAAATTGCAGCCTTGTTGTAAATAGCGTGAAGGAATTTTCATGCACTTAACAAAATGTGCAATTATATACACTTATATATAAACTCATGTTGTTGGCCATAAGCTACTGCATCTGTTGTTCCGCATGATGCGCGATTTATGAACTTTTCAGCTGGGATTAGCCTCAGCGACTGGACAAACTCATCTCTGGCACCTTGCCCCCACTGAAGCCAAAACAAGCTTTTAGCATGCAGAATCTGTAAACACAAAATAAATGCTAGGAAGGAAAGCAACAGAGAGTGATAGATATTTATTTTAATAATAATATTTTTGATATTCACTTTTCCGTATGCAAAGCCGTGAAAAACTATAGACATATATGTATATGTAAATATATTGCAAAATAAACTTAGTCACATTGTAAGCAAAGGTAAGACAAATACAGATTGAGCTAAAGATAGTCGAACGCCTATTCAGAGAGCATTCACAGGCTCTGAGCTAAGACCTCGAGTTGGGAGCAAGGAGAAGGGAGGGTAGGGTGAGTCGAAAGAGCAAGCCAAGGAGGGAAGGTCCTCCACCTCTAGGCCAGCCCGCTGCAAAGCAGAGCGAGAAGTGTCAAAGGAGGCGCTGGCAGCCTGCTGCGAGGTGTGTTATATGCGCTGTGCGTCACGGGTTGCCGATGGAGGGTGAAGGGGTGTTCGGTAAGGTTTGTCTCTTATTTATGTGACACATTCCGAGTTGACAACAATTGTTAACTGAACGTGACGGTGACGAAGACGAAGACGGCGAAGAGTAAGCGTGCAAAAAGATGCATTCAATTGGAAAGTAACTCGGAATGGCGTAGGGTCTAGGCAGACCGGTTCGAAGGGAACTAAATGCAAGTCAAGGCGTTGCTCGACAGTGCTCAAATGCGTTAACTATCAAGTCTGTGTGTATCTCAGTCTTTAAGCTAAATCTCTATCTGCAGATTTATGTGGTGCTGCTGTTGCCGGCAGGAAATTTCATGGCGAAACCGCTTTGTCGGTCTGCCTTTGGAGGCAGGGCCAGGTCTTATCTCAAAGGCTCTGCCACAAGATTTATAGATCGCTTGCTTAGCCACTGGGCTCAAATGGGGCATAAATTATGCGCGTATCTAAAAATTGACTAGAGCTCATTAATAAGCGTTTAGTGCCAGCGTAAATTGCACCGCTGCCCACTAATTGCTCAACGACAATAAATAAGAACAGCACACGTAGGTGCAGGACAACCCAGGAGTCCGAGCCAAGGTGCCAGAGGTGACCGCGCCGCCCGACCGCCTATTGCGTCTACTGGCCCACAAGTCGACAGGAGTACGTGCAAGACAAAGGCCAAGCACAGAGACTCTCATTGTACATTGAAGCAGAGAGTGCGACAAGTGGAGAGTCCACGACTAGGAAATACCCTGAATGCTGTTGGCATAGTTCAATCACGAGGAGGTGTTTGAATGACTCTCCACTGAAGAAGAAGCGAATAGACAACGATATTTAAGTGGAGGTAGCTATCGATGCTGATCAAGGAAGTTTTGACATCATCCAATTCTTGATGCATACCATATGCCCTCACTCATTGCAATATTTGTAGGGTATGAAATAGAAAAACTGAAAGCCCACGCAAGCTGTCCCACGTTTCGCCTTAACGATCTTATGACTGTGCAGATTTTCTATTCGTTAGGTTTTTGCACGTGGTAAAAATTGAACGCTTTTCGCAATGGACACGGCTCTGGCATGAATTGTGGCCTTGCCTAGCGGCTACTCGCAGAGCCAGTAGAAAAGGAAAATGGGCGGGATATGCACGAATATGTTATACCCTTACCATGAACTTGACAGTCTGCGAAAGGGGGAAATGTAGATCTATGAAACGAGATCTACAATTTAATCAGCGTACACATGTCTATAATTTACCAGCAGTATGGAAGAAGAACTACATTAATCAGGTAATTAAAATGTAAGGAATAAAGGTACTGATCGCGCTAATCATGATTATCCACCCCGCTGCGCATGTGATGCTAGGAAGGGCATATACCCGTTGCATAACGACTGCTACAATATGTGAGGCAGATCCTACCCTAAATGCAATTTTGCACACTTTTCGCTATAAACAAGACTTGTTGTTGTTGGTATTGTTGTTGCTGTTACCTTTGTAATATGTAATTTTCATGGTAAAATTAATGTTACGCTCGGAAGTGAGCCAAATTGAATCGAACTAAACTGAGCCGAGTTGAGCTGAAATGGCCAGTCAATTTAACACCCAACTCGGAGCACCAAATGGAGGCAGCCCGTACGCCCTCTGGCATTTTTTCATATTCTAAAAGTTTTCCTCTCTCTCCCTCTCCCTCTCGCTGTGTGCCTCGCTTCTTCAACACGATTCGGCTATAGAGCTGATAGCGTCGATAGATTTCGACATAAAACTTGAGGCAATTGAGGCAACACGAAAGTCCAATTGAAAAGCGCCTCAGTGAAATGTGGAAAATTCGGAAAATGGGGGAAAGCAATGCAATGCTTGACGATAAAAGCGATATTCAAAATTGTGTTAATTGCCAAAAGACTCGCCCCGAACATTGGGAACAGTTCTTCCAGCCAGCCACTCGAGCGTATCAAATGTCGTAGGGGCGCTGCAAGACACAGCTCGATGACAACCAGAAGAAGAAGTCTCAAGTCGAGTGCTAGTGACTGCAGCATACACGCTCGCTCTGAAAGGGTTTGCTGAGGTGCTCAACTAAGAGCAAGAGATCAGGGAGTCTGTAGAGGAGATTTGAACAATTAACCGACGTACATTGGCGAAGATCTAGTGACGCGCTCTCTCTCTCTCTCTCTCTTTCAAACACAATTCCAATATACCCGTTTTCTCTTTTGAGCGAGCATTGAAGCATTTTCACTGACGTTTTACAGGCGCATCAATCTCACAGCTTTTGGCTAAGTGCTGATAGCAGAGGCTATCAAATAAGACGTCTGTCCCATCCCGTCGTCTTCCTCCCGGTTGCCGGATGAATGATGGGCTCCATCTTAACCGCAGCCCATTTTTCGTCTGCATCTCATTGAGCGCGTGTCGAGTGTGCGCGAATGGCAGTAAATTCGATTAATATGCTAATTGCAGCTGGCCACGAACCCTGCCAATTGGCCGACTGAACTGAGCTGCAGCCAATGCTAATTGTTAGCCTGGCTAACTGGCTACCTGACTGACTGTCTGCCTCTCTGCACATAACTCAATTCTTTATCTGGCGCTAAAAGCAATTAAAGTCAACTTCAATCATTCGGCTAACGGCAACCGCAAAATGTTTTCTGTCCACTGGCCGTTGCCCACTGTACAGTGGAGTCGTGTGGTTGGCGCTGTTCGAATACTACCACAACCGCAGTCTCGAGCTTGTCGTAAGAGGCGACTAATAGAGACACCTCCTGTTGAAGAGAGAGTTCTGAACATGGATCGTTAAATATCAAATAAAAGGCTATTCCTTGGTCCTTCATACCCAGCGAAGCCAATACTCAAATTAAAATTCGAGCTAAATTCGTTTTTGACATACACATTAAAATTTTATTAAGTAAAAATATAGATAAAACACACCTACACATAGGAATAGAGATACTGTACATTGTACATAAGTAGCACATGCATAAATATGCAGATATATGCGCCATATTCGCAGATACTGTTATAAATAAAGTTGTACGCAGGCGTAAAACTATCCTTGCTATCCTTGCACGTCAAATTTGAAAGCCAAATATTGATTAAGACTTTGAACTAAGTTCGATTTGGCCAGCCTACCAAAATGTCGATGTCTGCAGTAGATAAAATACGTAAAATATATATATGTATATCTTTATATATATGTATGTATATGTAAAGTGGGAGAGATAGAGAGAGCAAATGGTAGTTAGTTATTTACCACTAGGAACGCATAGACAATGCCTATGGAGCCGCCAGCTAACACATCCGACCAGTGGTGCTTGTAGTCGGAGACACGCGTCAGGGCCGTGTACCAGGCGAACATTATTAAGAGGAACTGCAACAGGTGTCGCAACATTCGAAAACGCGAACATTTCATGCGTCGCTGCAAGTAAATCTAAGAAGAAACAAAAGCAATTCTGTAAGCCATCTCTGTTAAAGGCGAGACTATATATACATGCAGTTGTTAAGTATGTGTGCTTTTATATGCAATATTCAGAGTAAAAATTGCATTAGTATGTGCACAATAAACATTGAGAGAGCAATTCTAAGGGAACAGTGAGAATATGAAATAGGAGAGAAGAAAGCAGTTATTAAACTGCTGTCAATACCATGAAATCATCTTACACAAGATCATTTAAGTTGTCTATATGCAGCTGGTTGCAGCAGCAGTGTTCTCATTGGTCACTTAAAGCTCGGCTGCAACGACCCCTAACTGGCATCGGGCTCAACTAGATGTCTGAGAGAAAGTCGCCCTATAAAATGGCTGCAGCAGCTGCAGCATTTCTTCAGTCGTCCAGGGCTCGTGGGGATCAGTCAATTATTCGTAGAGTGAAGTAAAGTGAAGCGAAGTGTGTGATCGTTCAGCTAAGCATTAAATTCTTGGAGGAAATACTTAGGGGAATTATTTAGCGGATTTAATTAGCGGAATGACTTAGCGGACTTAGAGGAATTACATAGAGAAAATAGCTAGTATTTTAGCATATACTAGCCGTCTTGTTAATTGGTTATTAGTATTAATTATTTGTAAGTATATCTTTTTATGTGTGTATATTGTATGTGTGTATATTTGTATGTGTGTATATTTGTATGTGTGTTTATATACGCACCACAATGTAGATCATGGAGAAGAAAGCAAAGCTCGAATGACCACTGGGGAAAGAGAGATGCATGCTCTTCAGCTGCTTCGCACTTATGTCCTTGGCCGTGCAGACGTAGTCCTCAATGTAGCGACCCTCATTGACGTAATCATTGCAAGTGGTGCCGTCGGGCAGCACAGGCTGACAGAGCTGGAATTGAAGGAGTTAGATTGGGCCGCCCTTAGAGACAAGCTCCTGCTGCTTACTGTGAAGAAATGGGGTCGCAGTCGTCCAATGGTATATTTGGCTATGTCCGTTGTCAACTGCTCGATGCCCAGGCCAAAGAAGAAGGTGCTAATCATACGATAGCTGTCCACCGCCCAGTGTGGCAGCTCCATGTGGCACAAAAAGTAGCCACTGCTATGCAGTTGGTTGTGATGCGAAAGCCTAGTCCAGTCCTGTGCCCTATAGAATTCAACCAGTAAAATCTGTGCAATCCAACGATTAGAGGTGAGATATCCAATTTTAATTAGCGGGAATTTACCATAGATATGGGCAGCACCCCACACATCAGATACAGCATCCAGCTCTTTATGGTGGACTCTTTATAGGGATGCCTCAAAGAGAGATCATTGCAGAAGAACCCGCGCGAATGCGGCTCACAGCATGACGATAAGACAACCATGGTCAAGCCGGCTGCAATAGGTACAATCAAAATATTAATTATAAATAGAATAATATATGTATGTTCATCGCTAAATATTATTAGAATAATTATTGCTACAATTACTGTTTAATGTAATATCATATAAGTTTAGACATTACACTCTAGAATAGAAATATCATTCACGGCCTTTTTTTTTATAATGAACTATTTTTATAGTGGTTTAATACAATCTCTATTATGAGCAGCTGCATCTATATGATATACATATACAGATATATATTCAATTAGACAAATTTCTATATTCGAATTAGACAGCGAAAATCCGCGAATCGGACCCAAGTTGCAATAAGAGTGTTGTTCAAGGGTGGCCTAGATTATCATAGCTATCATCATTCTCATTATCATTATCATCAGCACTGGTGTATGGTGTCGGATTCTAACTGACACGCTGGCTCATTGGTGCAAGGTCTGCTAATCATGCCCAGATTAGACCTCTGTAAACAAACACAGCCAAGTGCCACACAGTTTCAATTCAAAATCAAGCTGATGAATGATGATGTTTTCATTTCATTGTTGTTTTCATTGTTGTTGTTTCTGCTGGTATTTTCACAGCACTTTGTACAATAAATTCACCCCAGAAAAACATTTGCGTAAATTAAGTCAAATATAAATCAGACAACAGTCGATGCGCGAATACTCATATATTTGGTCCATCATTGGGCATCTGTTGGGGGCCCCCAGCATCAGAGATGCTTACTTATTTGAACAAAAAAAAGGCATTCCGAGTGTTATTATCATTTAAATGAATAAAAACCTAAACGTATAACAGTCGAGGCCTCCGATGACAATGATGGCACCAGAGGCGCCAAGAGGTGACCAGAGAGGGTAACAGATAAAGCATAGTCGAGCGACTGCTAAAAACTCAGATATGGCACATACTTCATAGACATCACACTCTATGCAGACAGTAAACCCGGAGCGGGGCCATTCAATGGATGCACGCAGAGCCAGAGATCAATTGGTACAAAACGTGAAAGCACATCGTACAAGTAGAAGAGGAGAACATGAGGAGATAACTCTGACAGCTCGTGCCAAATAAAATCAATTCAAGAAAAGTCTATATATAATTATAAAATGTAGCAGTAGCTATAACAGAATAGTAGTGATATAGTAGTAGTAGGAGCTGGAGCAGTAGAAGTGAAGTGTCGTATATATGTACATATATGCACATATCGAGAGTTCGCTTTGTTATTCATGCCAAATCAAATTTGGATCAATACTCACCGCAGCCAAGCAGGCTAAAGTCCACTGCAATGCGCCTAAAGATGTGAGCCGTGCCGCGCTCTCGTGGCTTGGAGTCAGCTGCTTTCTGTCCGCGTGCTCCTCGCCCTGCGCCCGCTGTACCCCCCACGAATGGCGGCAGCTGTAAATCAACTTTTACATTGTTGCTAATATTATTATTGTTGTTGTGGTGCTGTTCCTGCTGCTGCTGCTGCTGGTGTTGGTGTTGGTGTTGGTGTTGTTGGGAGTTCGAGGAGTTGGGCATGGCTGCAGAAGTGGCGGCTGCTATGATGCTAGCCGCTGTTGGCGAGGACGGCTCCTCGCCGCTGCTGCTTTGGCTCTCGAAGCGTTGCAGCGGCGTCGTATCGCAGACACTAGCAGGCCGAAGGCTGCTCATGGTGTAGGCGTGGCTCTATTGCACCTTGCCGGCAATGTGTGTGGGCATCGTTATCAGCACAGAGAAGGAGAGCCTCAAATATTTGGGCAAACGCTAATGGACTCGCCTCGTTTTCTATTTACTTTGGCTGAAACTGATTCGGGTATTGGGAAAGGCACGAGCGTTGCCTTCCTGGCCTAGTGATAAGCGACGGCGTTCCGCAAATGAGAAACGCGGCGATCGATAATGTAGAGTAAACAAAAACTGACTTTTTTCGGCTAGAGGCGTTTCACTTAGGAATTGCGAAATATTACTTAAATTCTGCTGGCACCGCACAAATAACGGACAACTTTTCACTTTTTGCTCTTTTTAATTAGTCTAAAATAATTTGTACTTGATTTTGAATTCGTTTTTATGTACGATTCTGCGTTTCCACTGCACTTCGTTGAGGTTGCTTAAATACTCATAATTATTATGATGTTTACGCGTTTTTCTTTCGCATGCGCAGCGCCCTCAGCGAAGAAGAATGCGCCGAGAATGCAAAGACGAAGTTTTAACTGTTGCGATCGAGAAGAAGAGCGACCGCAGCGCTCGACAGTGACCAGAGAACTGAGCGCGTAGCGCAGCAACCCACCACCGACAACGACGCATTGTTCGAACACCTTTGAAGCAACGTCAGCTGCTCCGAGTGAGAGCCAGAGAGAGCAGCTAACGCGCTCTCTCTCGACCTATTACGAATAGTAACGTCGAGCTTAAGATTTGAAAACGAGCTGAAGAGCTCGCATACTTCAGACTAAACAATTCGCACGGATATGAAAAGCCCTATTTTTCGGCCCGGACAGCACGCGCTTTGGAAATAGAAATAGCTGTACATTAATCGCATGCATTGAAATTTCGTGGCTCTTATTATAAAATTAGGAATTGATATAACATATCGGTGTTCTACCAACTTATTAATTATGTTGCCAGCAGCATGACCTCATTACACTACCATTGTTTTATGAAACCCATTTATAGCCTTTATAGCTTATATCTTATCTAAGCTTAGAATATGCATTTGCTTCGCCTTACCTGCTTAGCGCGTGTGCGCACATTCCGTGTCGTTCTCACAAAGCTCGACGAGGGCATAGAACGTATTCTCTCGTTCTCTTCAATTATCTGGCTGTGTCGCTGCGTGTGACAAACACAAGGGGCGTTTGCTCTCTCTCTCCTCATAGTGTTTTAGTACAATTTATGCCGCGGTTGTGTTCGGTCGGGTCGGTCCGGTCCAGTCTATTCGTCTATATGGGAATTTGTTGCGGAAAATGTTTTTGTGTTTTCTTTCGTAATTTGTTTATACATAGCGAACATGAATAAATAACTATCAACCGACGCTAGAAGCAAAGCTACTAGCTTGGAAATTTTCACAGCTGCTTTCCACAAACGAAAATTCAATTCAATTGGCAAAAAGGTAAAAATTGCTAACCAAAATATCAATTTATGAATGTGTTCGTTTATGCGTACGAGTGCAAGTTCAATTAATAAAGATTATCATTTGAATTCATATTTATTTTCCTCTGCTCGATTTAAATTCAAATAACATTGAAAACAGGAAAGTGAGATTCCCATAAATCTTAATGCCAAAGTAAACAAAAAATAACCAAAAAACAAAATTTAAGAATTGGCATTCGATAAACAAAAGGTGTTCAAAGGTGTACGAATGTGTTGTGTAATGGAAATGAGCTAGCACAAATTGGCAAACAAATACCGCAAATATCCATCCATATTGTGGGGGCGTAGAGACTTCTGATATCTGTTTCCCTCAATCGATTTTCCTTTTGGACGCTTGGGGTCAAGGTCAACGTATAACAGTGGATGGATGTGTCGTACCTTAAATTGAGTGCAGTTATTGTCGAGGTGTGTCAGCATACTTCGAATTGCTTATCATTCGCTCAGGTGTGTGGAGAGCCAGGTGGGCATGCCTAATCAGTGCCAGCGGGCAGCGGTTGATAAATTGCGTTTCATGATGAATGCGATAATTTGATTGAGTTTTATAAACCAACAGACGCGTCTCTATATTTCTTCATATTTGTACCCGCTCACGAAGAGCAAATGGGTGTATTGGTTTTGTGCAATATTAGTATTATATCTTTGGAATGCATATAGTTAGTTCTGTAAGGTATAATTATCTCTTTAAGGTATAATACAGATATTTATATAAATGTTGCGAGCATTGGGCGGTCGGTAGCAGCCGACTCGCTTCATATTGTCAGCTGGCCAAAACGCAAAATTTGCTTATTACAGTGAACTCTACCTTGATGCTAGGAAAACGTTAGGCAAATGTAGCTGATAAGAAAGTAGAGCAACTGAACCCGCGCGAGGGCTGTACAAAATGTTATGAAAAAGTATATAAAAATCGATCTAATATACATATATTACATGCACATTTAAATTTAAATTTTGTATTTATTTTTTAGTAAAAATGTTCATTCGCAGTGGATTCACTGATTCATAATGAGCAGGGATCAGCACTCTGTGTTCAGTGAGTCGTGAGTCAATTGCCTAGCTGTATGCTTAGCCTCTTGAGTTTATTGGCCAAGATTATGGCCAGAGTCTCAGCAAATAGAGTTTCTGTAATTTTATGCAATTTTGCTAACTTACTCGGACGTAAAAAGGGGGCGTTGTAATAAGCAGCCTTCGCTGTAATAAGAACCTGTACCAGAAACAACAATCTTTAACAACTGGCGGCAGTGGCAAACGTCAATCACAAGATAGCCAGAGCAGAGAGTGGAGAGTGGAGAATAGCGTAAAGAATTCATCAAGCAGCTGCATTCGATTGTGGATCTGCAGTTGTCAGCTTCAAATATGGTCAACAGGGATCGAGTCAACGACTGTGCAACGCTGTGCTTCCCATCAGTCAGGATTTATTTTTAGATAGCAAAACAAGCTTCAACTGCCACTTCAGAGTAATTTCCTTCAGCAACTAAACCAACCAGTTGATTTCCATGCCTTTATGCCAATGAAGAATTACCCTACCAAAAACGCAGTAATCTTTCCTTAACAATTGTTTATAGAATTTTAGGCGATTTGCTGCCTCAATTCTACGTTAGTAATTGTCTCTGACGTCGAAAATGCCCTAATCATAAAAGACCTGAATTCATTGAAGGGTATTCTGCTTGCGAAAACGCTCTGCCTGTAACTGCATATCGGCGGCATCTCTTAGTTATGATCAAATCAACTTATAAATAGATAAGCCTAGACATATGTTATTAACCTTTGTAGCAGCAGAGTAAAAACTGAAAATTTCCTCTCTGAATGCGGCAGACTGTCGAATTCTTGAGGCGTATTTGCTGGAGCTGGGGTTAATCGATTTCGTTTTTATGGCGGGCAATGACCACCAGCTGAGGCTGCCTTGCCGCTTGCCCTCCTGTTCCGCCGGCCCCCTGTTGGAGGCGAATGTCGCGCCTGCTGCGAAATAAGGTCAGCCAACGACAGCGCCAGCGCCATCTGTTGCCCGTTGAGCGCAGCGAATGGCATATTGAAATTAGCGGAAAATGAATTACATATTAACAATAATATATACACATGTATATGAGCTGAATTTTATGGCTTTCAGGCGCCAGCAAAAATACGAATTCAAAAAGTTCATCCGAAACTTGCAGCCAAACGTGAATAAACGTCAGCAAACTGTCCGAAAGGCCCCCAAGACGGGGCATTTAATTTCAGTCTGATTATTGGAGACATGCCCTGCCCTGCCCACTGCTCCTGCCCCTAGCTAAGCAGCTCACAGACAGGTTGACGACGCAGTCAGCGGAAGCAGGCAAGACGACACCGAGCTTTACAGCTCGTCCCCTAGTACAGCTGTCCAGGTGTCCAGTTTATCCATGTGCTGTCGCCGGACTTATGTAAAGCAGCTTGTTTACTTGCCGTGTAAATTATAATAACTGTATAATGCAATTGTGGCTGATATAAGCGATTTGCGATCGACATTGAAACCTAAGAAGAAAAGAAATTGGTTTGGGTATGGAATCTTGTAAAACATAAATTGGCGAAAGAAACAAAACTAGCGAAACATGCTAACTAGTTAGGTCTGGACCGGTTAACTGATTAGCTAAAGATTTTATCCAAGCTGGAATTTTATTTCAGAGCAAAAAAAAACTTGAATCGAATAATGATAAAATACCCAAATACGTGTAGAATTTAGACATTACGAATCGTAGCAGTAATGACTCACAGCATGAGAGCTACCAAGTGAAGTTGTCACGGATAATCTTAGGGGCATCCACAGACATTACTCATACATACAGAGGCATCAAATATGCCCTGTGTAACAGTGAAATCTCCTTTCTTAAGCCGATCTTTTTAACGCTCTTTCAGAAGTTTACCTGCACATAAAAAGCAGCTGCCTTCGAAGCTGTCCAGCAAAGCCCAAGTTCATTGTCAGACAAAGAGAGAAAGAGAGAGAGAGAGGGAGAGCGTAAGAGTGTGAGAGAGTAAGAGAGCAAAGCTCTGCAAAGCTTTTCATAGCATTTTTAAGCACAGAAACGATTTCGAAATGAGTAACGAATCGTCAGCGAGCGAGACAACACCGCTGCGTCGGCCGGAAAGTCAACTGAGTGCAGCTTTGGTCGCTAACGTGGCCAGCAGTAACAACAACAAACACGTCATCAACATTGCCAATCCGACACCTGCACTGGCGACAGAATTGATTACAAACAACGACAGTAACACTATCATTGAGGAGCGATTGCAAGGCATTACCAACAACAACAACAACAATAACAGCAGTCACATCAATATCACACAACAACAGCATCCGCAGCAGCAGCAGCATCAAAACAACGAAAATATGGACACAAACAAACGAATTTTATGCCGTGTGGGACTCGATATTTTGATTCTGCTTCTTGGTAAGTGTTTACCTCTCAAAATTTCGCATACGACAAACATTAATATATGTATGTATATAGATAAGCATATACAAGTTAAAATATGTGAGTACATGTGTGTGTGTATGCATGCATATGTATGTATTTGCCGCCTTCTCGCGTGTCGCAATGTTTGTTTTGTATATTTCTTTTTATGTAATTTTCGGCATTTTGTATGTGTGTGTGCGCTCTCACACAGTTGCCTTGCTCAACAGAGCTTTCTCTCTCACACTCTCGCTCCGTCTCTCTCAGTACATGCCACGCTGTTGAGCTCTTTAGTTAGTCGGTTTCGAACAGCTGAGCATTTACTACAACTAAAGTCTGAACTAAGATGTGTTCAGGCATAGTCTTTTAATATTTATTGCAACTATAATTTAACTATTGTTTAGTATAAAGAATAAGATAAGATAATTCGTTAAGCTGACAGTTTTTCTGTTGTTTGCTTTTCGCTTTTCTCTTGCTACACCTTTTGTCAATGTTTGCATGCAAAACTAAGTTTCCCAAAAAACGGTAAATGCATTATATATTGGAGGAGTATCAATATTTATGTATGTATGTATATATAAATAGCTCTGTTTGTGTGAGTGTGGTTCACAATCAGCAATATCATATTTTAGCTTTTATCAGCAATCTTCGAAAGCAGCGTGTTTAGACAAAGCAATGCATAGTATTTCAGTGTTACTGTGAAACCCGTTTTTATTTTTAAACTGCGTTTTTGACTGTTTTTCCTATTGCCCAGACTCTCTTCTGTTCTTTTTTTCTCTCTCTCTCTCTTTATCTTTGTGAGTCATTCGATTCGATTTAGCTGGGCTTTAATTTTTTTTTCCAATTGGCAACTGGGTGCAAAACGTCGATTCTGTTTGCTTCTAACATAAATATGTACGTGTCCCACCTTTTTTATAGCTGCCGACCTTGCGTTTAATTTACTACTTTTCTGTGCTACTTACTTTTATTTGCACAGTTGACACTTATGTGTAATACACACAAATACAATTCGCATACAACAATCTCTAAAGAGGGGACTCATACTCAGCATAAATAACTGTAGATTGGCAACAGGTAACGCAGGCCGCTCAGGTTGACTCATTCGTGCATCCCAAAAGGTGCTCCAACGGCTGATGGAATACATACATAAAAAAACGTTAAGCATTAATCCCTGATGACTCAGATTGTGCAATAAAACATAAAAGTCATTAAGATAATAGCCAAGTTGATTAAGCCAGAAAGTTATCTGTACTGGGAATAGGACTTCTCCTACACAGTTATCTGAGCAATAAAAGATAATAAGAAGTACAAATAATTTTAATTATTTCAACAAAATTCAAATAATAAATCGTATTTATTTATCGTCCGCCGTTGAAAGTAAGAGTCCAATTTGAATCCATAAATAAGACGGAAAAAGAAAACTTTTAACAGCTGCGCACTTAATCAAATATGTAAAAACACAGAAAGTTCTTCCACAAATAAATTCCAATTAGTTGTTAATCGAAATTCCAATACAATCTGATTCGTTTTGTGTTCGACCTTTGGGCACTGAACAGCTTACTTCAAATAAATTCCAATTAGCTTAACATAACATAAGTCAGCTCCACTCAGATACACTCAAAACTTTTAGAAAGAGAACAGCTTTTAAGAGACAACTTGTCTGTTCCACTACTAATAAACTCCTATTAAATATGCATTCCAATCAGATATTTGTCTACTTTTTCGAAAGAGAGCCACTTCTAAGAGCTATCCTAAGAGTCTTTTACTTGAGGGGCTGTCGAATCTGTGAGACTTTTTCCTATCTGTCTTCGACTAATTTTAACGTAAATTAGTTTTGACACAGAAGGCGCTGATGGAGTGATATGCCGGGAGGAGTCTGAGTGCGTGCCTCCACTTCAGCTATTGTGGTTGGATCTTCAAACATACCTTAACAATCCCAAAATTAGACTCAAAATAAACTTCGGGCGTCTCTGCTTGACGTTAATTGAATGCGAACGAGCTGCAGCACAACCAATTGGGAAAACTCCCCCTCAACTTTTTTCTTTTGGTGGAGTCATTAAACTCATAAAAGAGAAAGAAAATGAAAAAAGTGCGTGCGCACTCCAATAATTTATTGTGCCGAGCAGGAGAAATAGGAGGGGAAAGAGGAGGGGGAGTGATATTCTCTATGCTCAAACGAAAAACTAAGTAGAAAGAAAAATATTTGTGCTACGCATTTGCTTTATTGTCATGGCCAATGGATGCAATCTCGCTCTTCTTCTTTCTCTCAATATTATTGTTTACTTTCTAGCCAAAAGGCCAGGAAAAACAAAATAACAAACACGTACGAGGGCGAGACAGCTGCCGAGTTAGTCGATGATCGGATTGCTTATACCCTGGAATGGAAAAATAGGACTAAAGAAACTTTCAATTCTTTTATACGGAATGTTTCCTTATGTCTCCTTATGATTTCTGTAAAAATCTCAAAATCTTAAAGTTAAATAGAAAACTAAACCTGTTTTCTAGGTGGATCAAGCCAAAAATATTATGCTTAGCAAATACTTATACCTCATTACGAATTGTAGGGTATTTAGATATACACATATCAGGGGATTTTTCATATGCTCCCCTTCTTCTTCTTCTTCTACCAATTGTGAAACTACACAGGACATCAGCTCGAATTAAACCACACTTCTATTGTTATCAAGTATTTAAGCTCCGACTATACACTATAGGGTATCTTTGCTGTTTAGCGCACCTTTCTATTTTTTCTTCTGCTACAGTTTTTTAGGCATTCGAGGCATATGTAATTATCTGTGCCTCATCAGTCTCTTTCTGGTTTTGAGCAATTGGTAATATTTCAAACCTGCCATGACAAAGGTGTCTGGACCCTACCTGAGTGACACCTTTGTTTCCTCGCTCTGGGAATTCCTGGTACCGAGCTGCATGTGCACTGCACATTGCAATTAATGAGTCGCCCACCCCTTGAAGGTCTCACTGCATTCTCTCGACGACTGATGTGGCGCAGTGAAGCGCGAAATTGCGAAGGATGCTGCCCTATAGATAGATCAGATTCTCAGTCAGACCTGCATTTGAAAGTAATTAGGAGTGTGGTGAGACTCGTATACTCTTAAGAGACTATATTCTCAAACTCGTTTACTTATAAATTAGTATAAGCTGTTCTGCTTATTCTTTTAAACCTTTCAACTCTTATACTTTTCAACTCTAAAAATCTCTTATTTTCAAAAAACCAATATACCCTGCGTTACCCATTCGACGAGAGAGCATGATTAATTGTTGTTTTTTTGCTTTTGTCCTTCGCCGATCGATCAATTGTGAGCTGTCAGTCATCCTTAGAGCTTATGCTAAAGTCTTGAAACTGGAGTCTGGAGTCGAGAGTCTGCACTTTGAGAGGTTGGCTAGAGGTTGAGAGTGCAAATCTTTGGCATTAATTGTCTTTAATTAGACTTCCGTCTTGTTTAATTAATGCTATTAGAATTGTGCGACCAGACAGTCATTGTCTCCATTAGCTGTTTGCCAGAAGAGATAAGATTTTAGCTTTAGTTTCATAATTCTCAACTCTAACGTGCAGCAGAATATACATATTTGTCTTTTAGCTGGCTGAAAAAAGGCCAAATATGCAGCCCTGATAGTTTCTCTGTTGAGATGAGATTTAATTTCCAGCTTTCGTAATTCCCACTTCCAATAGTTGCAGCTCTTTGTGTTGCACGTTGAGCTGGAGCAGGGGCAGCATTTCTGAAGTGCCGCCCAGTGTTTGTGTGGGCCACAAAGTGTTTGTGTGCGCAACTTGAAAGAGAGTGCGCCAGCATCCACAGATAGAAAAGTATCTGAAGGGCGAGCTGAGAGATAAGTTGAGACTGTGTAGGAACGTGGCGTACGACGGTGGCACCAGCGGCTTCCTTTGAATCATGTCTTGAGGTGGATGAGGGTGAAACGAACCGCCCACCCCTCAGTCTTCCCCCACTCTCTCTCTTTGTTTATAGTTTCTAGAGCATTTACCTCTTTGTTTAACAAACAAATTGTGTTGTGCATGTATAAATGTGTGTGTGTCTGTGAGTTTGGATGGGAGGGGGCATAAAAAACACAATTTGGGGCTTTAAGTATTATTGAAATGGACTTGACACCAAATGAACGCAAAGCACTTTCAACAACATTTGTATCAAAGTGCGACAGATTTGCCTCTAAACGAACCACTTCCGCCCATGTTCCACCGTTTTGAACGAGAATCTCTCATCAACAGAAAACTACAAAACAAAAAGGGCAGCAAAACATAAGTTCAATCTATTTAGTTACGGTGCCACAAAGAGAGAAGTTCTATTTAGATAAAAGTCGTATTATTCCCTTTCTACATTTCGAGACGAAAAACCCATAAAAATCCATATCTATAGATGCGCTAGATACCCTAGATAGCAGCTACTGTTTCGACTGGGATAAGCCGCCCGCATACAAAGGTCACTTGCTCTGCTGTAATAGGACTCTGATCTGGTAACAATACAGGCAGCGAGCATCGCTTTCCCAGCATCCAATGTTAAATCACTCTCGCAAACAAAGATCGAACCTGTTCTCTTCGCATGCAGCTGCTTCTTTGACATTTGCTCTACTCTGCTTTGAGAGTGCCCTACTCCCTTTGTCAGCAGCTATTCGTGTGCCTTTTACTTAGGCTCTGTGGTAAAAATCGATAATCCTGCCTGCTGCCCTCCGCTTTCTACTCCTCAGTGGGACTCTGACTCTGGCTATGACTCTGCGGGCAATCGTCGCCAGCTCAAGTAGACTCTACTTCTACTTCTATAAATAGTTGAATCGTAAAGCAGTCTGGGAATATTTGAGTATTTCCGATGTGTTTGTTTGCACTGCTGTTAGCGTGGCTTTCTCATTAAACTCACATGGTAATTATAAACTCTAGTTTTGTATATATAACTAAAGCTATAGTCAAAGTTAATAACTCTAGTAAGTGCATAAATATTTCCTGAGCATGTATATTTACATTCATAAATGAATATGCAAAATCGCTTTTCCTCCAACTCAAATACATATCTTTCGGCGCCATCTCAAGTACTCGGCATATTCCGGCTCTATAAATAGGCAATGTAAGTAGTCTTTCTCCTCTGCTGCCACACTCATTAGGCGACCCTCGCACATCGTCCGCCTCTCTCTAATGTGCAGCGCATCGCTGAGCATCTTTCACGCAGGTAATACGCGCAATTGCAATGGCAATTAGCCAGACGTTGGCTTCTAACTGTGGCATCTAGTGCAGCTCTATTTGAGTCTACTGCACTTAATCTAATTTTAATTAGATCTACGAACTCGTAGGCCGTGTCGTGTAATTGGCAGAGAGTAAATATCTCTGGCTCTCTCATTCACTCACTCATCAAGAAAAACAAACATATGTATTTTAAGTGTCGCTGACACTTTCGATCGTTGTACTATTGATGAATGCATGAAGGCTTTGTTTTTGGCTTAATCAATCAATCAATCAAGCTGCTTGATGATGACCGTTTGTCTGGGCGAAAGCAATTTGTATGCCTGCCAGTTATTATTAATGGAGCTGCATTATTCATTAATATACACGCTCGGTCAGCTAAAAGTGGGCTTATGCTTACCTGTTCCATGGTCGTCTCAGTGCTCTGTTGACTTGAGTGCAGCTCCCACTTGTTAATGGTGCTGCCTTTTTAATTAAAAGTAAACGAGTCAGCACGCGTATGCGGCTGCATTTTGTGACTTGTTGAAATGTTCAGCATGACTCTTATTAGGCCCCACTGCGAGAACCCTTGCCCCGTCTCGAAACTCCCCCGGTTCCAGCTCTATTCGAGCTACGCTGGCTGCAGCTGTCGCAACCAAAAATAGTTGCTTTATGAGCGGCTCGTCGTCGTCTTGATGTCTCCCCTCGCAATGCAGCCGATTAGTAATCTTATCAATAGCTTAGACATATCGTAAGTCAACAGTGTCAGACCTGCCGAAAATGAGTAAGAGGGGCGCGCGAGCCCCCTTGATAATGGCCATTAATGCGCGCCACAAGTCCCAATGACCTACTAAATGCATATTGATAAATCATCGCGGCTCAAATTTTCTGACAAGCGAAAGCGGAGAATACTTTTCGAAATATCGTTTACTCTTATCAACAATTTTCTCAAATTTTCCTTTCTTTTCGGTGTTGCAGTTGGCTTTCCCATACTGTTGTTCTTCCTGCTTGGGGATCCGTACAAGCGCGGCTTCTTCTGTGACGATGAGTCGCTGAAGCATCCCTTCAAGGACTCCACTGTGCGCAACTGGATGCTCTACATCATAGGCCTGGTGATACCAGTGGGCGTGGTAAGTGGGCAATTGAATGGAATTGAAAGAGAAATTCAAATTAAAATTGAAATTGATATAAATTATATTGCGTTTATATGATGCGGGCTCTTTGGGGACTGAAGCAGCTCCCAAGTGGCCACCCATGCTAAATGATGTCAAACATGTGTCAGTCAGTTGTTTTTTAATACACTCGAGTCTATTACACAATCATTTCAAGTTCACATGGCCAGAATAGACAGACAACTCCCTGAATGTGTGCTCTACTTTTAAGCTCTTGCACAACTCTGAATGGGATCTGACAGAAAGGGAGAGTGAATGAAAGAGAGAGAGAGACAGAGATCTATCAAGACATCTGTTGACCACTCCACATGTTGTAAACGAAACCAGAGCAAGCATCTGTTTGTGCCTCTGTGAAGCAAACGATGGGCCATAAACTGGTTAATGGCCCTAGTTCTACTGAAACCTACATAAAAACAAATAATGCCCAATATTCATACTATTTGCATACCTTTTGCCTTGAAACTAAACAACTCATTCACTCAAATATTTTCCGAAAATCAATGCAATAATTAATTATTTCCCTTATCTCTGCCTCCGCCTCCGCCTCTGACTCTGGCTCTGGCTCTGTTTATATTGGCCCTTCCTAAGAAAACAAACTATCCGAAAATAAAATGAAAAAAAAAGGTGCTAAAAGGAAATCGTTCATTGATAAATAGAGTTGTTGTTAGTGCTCACAATAAAGGCTTTTTACCAGACATATTGACATTTTTACTACCTCTTCAACTTTTTATTCTGTTCTCAGTCTGTCTCTTATCTAGTCAGTGTAGCCAATCAATCAGATTTGCCATTATTCTACGTCCTCTTCAATTATGCATGTAATAAATATTATCAACATTTTGTATTTATTATTTATATTAATCTTCATTTCTTTCACTCTCTCCCACACAGATACTCATCGTTGAGCTGCTGCGGTCTAGAAATGCGAGCGTGTCTGGCACTGGATCGGCGAGGCGCTATGTCTTTATGTCGTACCAGATACCCGACTGGCTGGTCGAGTGCTACAAGAAGATGGGGGTCTTTGCCTTTGGCGCCGCTGCCAGTCAACTGATGACGGATATAGCCAAGTACTCAATTGGCCGATTGCGTCCCCACTTCATAGCGGTAAGCGGGGATCATCGAATGACAATTAAGCAACTCCGATTGCCAATTAATTTTAATATGCAACATATGCAACGGACTTAATGCAACATAACACAAGCAACAGCCGACAGGAGACAGGAGACACACACGAAGGGGTTATTAATAAGTTGTAATCCAATTAGGGGCATTGAGAGGGTTGGCTCATGGCACTGCATTGTTTGAGAGAGAGATAGATAGAGAGAGTATAACTAATTTAGAATGAAATATGTTTCTTTTACATATATGCCAGAGTTATAATACCTGTCAAAGTGGTTCATGTCAAATGAAATATCATGTCAATGGTGAGAGCTATAGCTTAGTAGGTTGAATGAATGATAATTATTAATAGGTGATTCAAACTCAGATCAGCTAAAGCTTATATATCCTATATTGGGCAGGGTGTACACTTGTCGCCTTGCCTTAGATATCTCTTTTATTATCTTTATTTATAGTTTGTGTTCATGTTAAGTATTTTGCTAACGACGGCACTCAAGTAGCAAACAGAATAGTTTTTCAATGTCTTGCATCAAACACTATTACAGCATATAGATATATAGAATAACCATATAGGCAGCCCTCGCATAGCCGCGTGTCGCCACTGATATGACGGGTTGATGGGGCCCTTCGAATGATGCTTGTTACGGACTCCCCTAGCTCACGGGCAGCACAGAGACGCCCTATTATTTAGTGAAGTGCGGCAACATCGCTGCAAAATTGAGCATAAAATGTACAGCACATGTTGCAAATAGCAAGGGAAAGGGGCCAAATGTGCGTTGCCCATTGGCCCATGTGCAGACAGTAACTGTAACTAAGGAATCTTAGCGGATACTCTTCTTTGCGTAGCGCTCAATATTTGTTTGTGCTTGTTCTCTTTGTCGTCGCACAGGTGTGCCAGCCGCAGATGCCCGACGGATCGACCTGCGACAACGCAACGAATGTGGGCAAATATATAACAGACTTCACGTGCAAAGGTGTGGGCAGCTCAGCGCGGATGCTGAAGGAGATGCGACTCTCGTTCCCCAGTGGACACTCCAGCTTCACCTTCTACACCATGGTTTACGTGGCGGTAAGTTGAGATGGCCGAGCTGCGAGCTGTTGTCTCCCATATTAAGCATCTTCTCTCGCCCATCTCTCTGTGTAGCTCTATCTGCAAGCCCGCATGAATTGGCAAGGCTCGAAGCTGCTGCGACACTTTCTACAGTTCCTCTTTATCATGATTGCCTGGTATACGGCTCTGAGTCGGGTCTCTGACTACAAGCATCATTGGTCGGATGTTCTGGCTGGTTCAGCAATCGGAGCTGCCTGTGCGGTGATTGTGGTAAGTTCCTTTCCCTTCTCTCCTCTACTTCTATCATTTCAAAGACTGTATGTAGCGAGTCTTACACACACACACGTCTCACTTGATCATCTTTTCTAGAGTTTCTTTATGCCTAAAGCGTGTTTCAACATGCAGTCAGTTTGGCCCACCACAGAAGCTAAGAGCCAGTGAACAGAGAGAATGAGAGAAAGAGGAATAGATTTTATTCGGCATAATCTCAAAGCTTTTGCAATGTCAAGATTCTTAGCTATTAAAATAACTTTAATTGACATACAAACACACACACATATATATAGTGGAGTTTTCTTAAGTCGGCTTTATGTTAGAAGTGCGCCATTTGCACGAAATATTCGTGCAACTAATTGGCTCGCTTTCAATACCTGCTGCAATGGGGCGTGCGGCATGCGAGTGAACATGGCAGACCCATTCACTTCACAAATTGACCAGCTGCGACTACAAGCATACATACGTACATATGTATGTATGTAAATATATAGATCAGTAATTTATTTGGCTTATTGGACGTGATTCGTGTTCCTTCGACTATTTCTCGCCTAATAGAAACATACCATACTTTTAGGAGCCATCTGTATAGCCGCCTATGCTGAATTTTACTATGAATCTGAACTTAAATTTAATAACCATAGCACTTTTCTTTCTTTCAGGCAAACTACGTTTCTGATCTGTTTCCCTCGAAACCAAATGCGAAATCCTATTTGCCGCGTAGCTCACAGGATGTCAGTCAAACGCATTCAACGGTTGTCGTCACAACGAATTAGCCCGCAATTGACATTAATAATGATTTTAGCAATCGGTTAGGACACAAATTCCATAATTTATAAGCGAAATATTAAGGATCTGTCAAATTGTATTTTTTGTTGAACATTTTTAAACACCGTAAAAGCAAAGCTTTTGTTCGATTTTAATGTAAACTAATTTTGTATTTAATATTACTCGACAAGTCGTGTATTGCTTAACTATGTAAGTACAACTTAATGTATTAGCCTCAGATAAAAACGTTTGCTGACTCGTAAAGATTATATTCACTAAAGTGACCTTACGATTATATGAAATTCGATTTGCAGTTTCGCGAATCGTCAATAAGTATTATGTTAAAATGAGTCTTTAGTTTTTGATTAAGATTTGATTAAAACAAAAGAAAAATGTAATTTATTTCTAAGAAGTGTTAATATTAAGCTTGTTAAAATAAAGCATACAGAATATTTTAAAAATTTGATAATTAGATTTGGATATGCGGCTCTTACTTTTTGGGATTATTTAGTGACATTTATCACAGTATACTTTTTGAACATAGACCCCATTTTCGATAATAAAATACTACTGCAGCATCGATAGTTCTGACCCTAGATTTGTATCAATCGATATTTAGTTTGCATCTCTGACAATTATTGTGGTCTAAACAAAACCGGCTTGTTTTTTGGGAATAAAAAGTAAATATTAGATATATCTTATGTTTATGGAGAATAGTTGTTATTTAACGCTGTATCTAAAAAGATAGATTTGTAAAGATAATGATTTGGCTCAGATGTAGTGTGCATATACTAAAGAAAATCACTCTTTTGAAACATGACGTGTCACCAGAGGGCTAAAGAATAAGACTAATATTTTTTCTTCGCAGAAGCTCCGTATCAAAATGATAACTGACGTGCAATTGGCAATTTTCTCAAATGTCCTAGGAGTATTTCTGTTTCTCCTCGTTGTTGCTTACCACTACATCAACGCCAATACGGGAAAGTAAGTGAAAAACTAAAGAGATGTGACCCATCAAGCAATTAAATTACTTTTATACTTCATTTTTCAGGTCTAGTATTAAAAACAAATGATGTTTAAGGTTTCCACAAGTTAATTAATACAAGTATCTTATAAAACCAACTTCAAGTAATAAAATGGTATAATAAAACTTACTCCATATCATCTAGCGCTTCCTTCATTGCCCGCATATCTATTAACGCCTTATCCTTGCGTGAATTGAAAGTGCGCTGCGTTGGATGACCGAAACTAAAAGCCTTGATATTTGGAACTCTTTCATCGCTCAAGTCCATAGTCACATCTCTATCATTATGCACATCCATAACATTAGTTGCTTTCTTTGTACGAATTTTTGCTTTATTGGGAGTTTTTCCTTGATCAAAGCGATAGTTCGCCGGGAATTTGTGTACTTTGATGCAATGATCCTTTCGGTCGGCAGGCTGAAAGAACTTTAAAGGACATTCTTCTATGTAACAGGTGTAGTGCGGTTTATCGCCACGCTCGACGCTGGCTGCGAAGTACAAATCATGCTGCTCGGTTATGTGAAGATCCAACAGGTGTGCAGTTGGCAATTGCCGCCGACATTGTATGCAGCTGTAGTACTGCGACTGTGTTGTCTTTGTGTTCACAACATTTTTCCAAATGGGAATCTTTGTTTCTTCATCTTCAATATCCTCGAGGTCAATGAGTACACCAAGCTTCTTAAATGGCGGCAAAATTGATGTATCCTTGCTTTCTTCTGTGGGCGTAATAAAACCAACGGATAGATCGTCTAATATCTTTTGCAATTGATCTTTTGCGAGTACAACCGCGGAAAATATTTCCGAATTCATTACGCGTTTGCTTTTAAACCAGATGACTTATTGATATCGATGAAGGAAACGGTGTTACTAAATATACCAAATAAGAGCACAGAAATCAACTATCGCATATTTGATAGCCTATCGAAATATAAACAATATATATCGAATCGAAATTAGTATGCTGATATCGACTGTCGATATTTCATTGTTTTTATTGACTAAACATATGCGCTGTCGAATAATAAAAAAGAGTTGGAAATATGTCCGCTGTTAGCGATTCAGCGGCTGCAGAAAACTGCTTTGATATTGAAAAAGTTTCCGATCTATTTGAAGGAAGCTTAATAGACGATGATGATGTGCGCATGGAAGACTATTTGGAAGCGTATGAGGAGATTATGAAGTAAGTAAAGTAAGATAAGTAAAGTAAAATAAATTTATCAACAAACTTAAATTGATTTCTGCCTCAGGTTCTTCCTGCTGATGGGCAGCGTGTTTACATTTGTAAGCAGCGACGTGCGAAACAAACTGGATATACTGTACGATCTACGACAGCAGGACAATGAAGAAAACAAACACTTCGATAGTATTAAGACTATGCTGTTATATGAGAAAGGAGCCAGCCTTCTACACCAAAAAGGCTACGTGTCTGGCAGTCGGACCTTATTGCGTCTGCATCGTGGCCTAGGTACTACTCTGTGAAATAGATAACGGGATGTTTATCTTATCTATGTATGTACATTCATTCGTTTCAGAGTTTGTGTACGAGTTTCTACTTCGACTGCAAGACGTGGCAGATGAGGAAAAGGCTCACCATGTCTGCAAATCAGCTTACAATGACACCCTGGCCAAGCATCATCCATTCCTCATACGTAAAGGCGCTCAAGTAGCCATGTTTGCAATACCCACGCGCGGCGAGCTCTTCAAACGCGTCTGCAGCGATGCGAATGTGTCGAACGCAATTCAAAGGCTGCCTGATATGTTACGGAATATGCAAAATGTCTACAATCGCACGGATCAGCTTTATACACTTGAGGAGCTCCATAGCCTGCCTTAGAGCAGTCACTGAATAGGTCATTATTGATATTGTAGCGTAATGTAGAGTCCATTAGCCTTTCTCTGTCTTATTGCGTGGTCCATTTCGATATTAGAGTTTTGTATTTATTACCTCTGCTCGTGTTTGTCTAATTAAAGCCTTAACATTTTACTAAGGAATATCTATCATCTATATTTATCGTATAGTTAACTTATCTGTGACGAAATTTACAATGGACATAGTCTAGTCGCTATTTGATTAGATTGTACAGCCTCGAACCGCTGTCGTAGAACGTTGCCCCTGATAGCCCAATTAAAGCTAATCAGGATTTATCATTTCAGAGACAGTGAGCTGAATTAGCTAAAATCCCAAAGATTTACAAGTATGCCTTCTATATGTATATAGTTATAATTTAACTGCAATCTGCATTTATGCATTTAATGGCGTGCAATGACGCACACTAATGGCCGACAATTTCCTGTCTTGTTTCTCTATTGATTACCCAACATACCCAGATCTATTTGCCAAATCATTTTAGTCCCATTGGCCAACTAGCCTCCATTATTTCTTATCAGTCGTTTGTGTTGTGCCTTGTGCAAAAAGTGTGTTGTGATGACGACTTAATCAACCACTTCAAACAAACACCAAAATTATTTATAAAACGGCCTGTACTGGGGCTACGGAACGCATTTGAAAACCGTCTGCCACAGACATAAGAAGATTTTCTAAACTTTCGTGAATGGGGCGCTATGAATAATCTATCAAATAGTAAACGCGAACCAAATCCCTATCTAAAGGCGAATATATTCTCGAAATGGTTTTTTCTGTGAGTTTAATATTCAAAATAATGGAAATAACTACTTTAAATAGTATACCAATGTTATTTTCAAAATAGTTTCAACAATAATGATGATACATTACTAATACTTATAATAATAATTACAACAATAATGCTGATTCAATATTAAAATACCCATAATCATAAGTATTATTTATTAAATTAGCAAATAAATGAAACGCAAATATTAAAGTGTTATTTTGTGCTCGATTTCATATTGATTGAGAAATAAAGCCCATTTAAGCTCCATATCTCAGACCTGTCTCGATAATGTGTACGACCAAATACTCCCTATGCATTCTCTTTCGTTTATCACTGATTGGTAATATAAGAGATCCGTAGAGCATTGTCTGCCTGGCAGCACGTAGTTTCAATTAACTGTCAACTCAAGACTGATTGCTGTTCTCATCATTTAGATGGATGCGCCATGTATTTCGGCAAGGCCGACGAGAAGAGCTCTCGCAAAACGGTCTATACGCAAATTTACACTATTTCGATAGTAACAAATTGACGGAGGACTTGCAAAAGCCATGGATACGTGAATCTCAACGCAAGCAGCCAAGTTCGCTGCATCTGATCTTTGCCCATTATGGATGGCAGTTTGTGCCTGCCTGCGTGATCTATTCAATTCTGGAGATCGTTATACAGTGAGTACACGAATATAAGCATATTGAAATCTAAGTGAGTTGCCGAAGTTGAAGTACTTTAGTGCCCGTCTCTGAGTTATTCTGAGCGACTGCTAGAATTTTCAGGCTTCTCACATTTGATACTAGATATATACTAGAATAGTTGCATTTCTCTCAAGTACACTCTGTGTATTGTTTGTTTGCAGTGCCTTTCAGCCACTCTTTTTAGGTGGCTTGATTTCCTACTTTGCCGAGGGGCAAACTAGCATTACCAAGGAAAGCGCCTATCTGTATGCGATGGGCATTGTGCTGTGCGCGTTGGTCACGTCAGTGGTATTTCATCCATTTATGTTTTACGTCTTTGCCGTGGGCACAAGGATTCGAGTGGCCTTTGCTGGTCTGATATACAGGAAATGTTTGCGTGCAGCGATCAATGGGCGGGAGGGACTTGGCGCTCTGGCGATATCAGTGATGTCCATTGATTTGCCACAGTTCGATTTGACATTCTACTTCTTTCATGACTTGTGGAAGGGACCCGTTGAGGCGTGCCTCTTTGGCTACATCATGTACACTGAGATTAACTGGACGGCTTTGATAGGCATTGTCTTCATAGTGCTGCTAATTCCACTTCAAGCGTGGGCTGCCAAAGCAGCAGCCAAATTTCGCACCAGATCAGCGGATCAACGGGATCGCCGTGTGAAGCTGATGAACGAGATTATAAGTGCCATGCAGGTGATCAAAATGTATGCGTGGGAGCAGTCCTTTGCAAAGTTGATAGTTAAAGTGCGTAAGATGGAGGTTAAAGCCATCCGAGGTTCCGTTAGCATATACGCGGCGCTGCAGTGCACCAACATGATATCGAAGGTGTCCTTGTTCCTAAGCCTCATTGCTTATGTGTATACAGGTGAAGCGGTTACGGCTAGAAAAGTGTTTATACTCTCGTCCTACTACAGTTTGCTGAATGATTCCCTGCTGCACTTTTGGCCCTTAGCTATTACCACCTGGGCGCAGACTGTGGTGAGCGCAAGGCGAGTGACTGAGTTCCTACAACAAACTGAATCGCCTACAAGCGAGAGCTGCTCCTCCAACTGTAGAGACAATCCTACCATACGATTGGATTTTAATAAGGCACCTGCGAAGCCTCTCCCTGTGGGTCGACTGCACTGCATAGAGAGCATGGAAAAGTCCCTCACTTTTAGCCATGTCACCGCCAGCTGGAACAAGCCAAGCCTTAAACAGGCACGAACTGTGCATATTGAGGACATCAGCTTTAAGCTTCTTCCCACACAATTGGTGGGCATTGTGGGTAACGTGGGCTCTGGCAAGAGTACGCTCCTAAACGTCATCTTAGGCGAAGTGGAACTCATGCAGGGTCGCATAGAAGTGCATGGCAAGCTGAGCTATGCCCCACAAGAGCCCTGGATATTCCAGGCCAGCATACGTGATAATATAGTCTTTGTGGAGCCATACGAGGAGCAGCGCTATCGAGCTGTTGTGCATGCCTGCCAGCTGGACTGTGATCTAGCTATGCTGCCCCACGGTGATGCCACTGTGGTGGGCGAACGGGGCATCAGCTTAAGTGGAGGACAGAAGGCGAGAATAAGTCTGGCCCGTGCTGTATATCGAAAAGCAGATATATACTTATTCGATGATCCCCTTGCTGCGGTGGACTCACGCGTGGGTAAACTGCTAATGGACAAGTGCTTTAATCGGTTCCTAGGAGACAAGCTGCGCATATTAGTTACGCATCATGTACAGTTACTGCAGAATGTGGATCACTTGATGCTTTTCGAGTCCGGACGTCTAACCCAGCAAGGCACCTATGCGGAGCTGCGAGACGTTATTGAGAAACATGCAGCACCCGATCTGGATGCCATTGAATCAGATAAGCAGCTGGTGAAACGAGTCCTTAGCCAAGTTGACAGAAACTCCAAGCTATTCCAGGATACTAAAGAGACGGTGAATGATCAACCTAATAAGGAGAGTGCCTTCTCAGAGCACCAGCAACAAGGAGCTGTTAGCTACGCTACTTATATGGATTACTTTCGCGCTCTTCGCTCACCCACCTTAGTTTGCCTGGTGTTTGCGCTCTTCATTGTCGCTCGAGTTTGCCAAGCACTAATGGACATCTTCATTTCACGCTGGGCTACCTGGGAGGAGAATCGTGGAACACCCCAGGAATTTGAAAAGACTCGTGCTCAAATGGTTACTTGGTACGCGGTGCTCTTGGTGTGCACCTTGGCCCTCTACTTGTTGCGAACCTTTGGCTTCTTTCTGTTATGTTTACGTATTTCACTACGATTGCATAATTTACTTTTCGATGGGATTATACGTGCTCGCATGTTGTTCTTTAATGTCAATCCCTCGGGTCGAGTACTTAATCGCTTCTCCAGTGATATTGAGAACGTGGATGTGGCCTTGCCACAGGCAATGATGGATTCCCTGCAGGTAATATATACATAACTGAGACATACACATTTACTTACAATATAATTTATCATTTGCAACAGTTCTTTGTGGATGTGGTGGCTGTCTTGGTTATCGTGGCAATCGCCAATTATTGGCTACTCATTCCAGCAGCTATCATGGCGGTCTTGATGTACTTTTGTCGTTCTTTTTACATAGGCGCCAGTCGCAGTCTGAAACGCATTGAAAGCTTAAGTAAGTAAATAAGTAAACCATATTTCTGACTTACTCACATGCTTTGGACTTTTTCATGCTCAGCTCGTAGTCCAGTTTACACGCATGCCAATCAAACGTTTCAGGGCTTGACTACTATACGAGCATTGGATGCGATGCCGCAATTGGAGCACACTTTCCATGGCCATCAGAATACGAACTCGTCTGCGCTTTTTCTCTACACAAGCGCCAATCGTGCCTTTTCCTTTTGGACGGATCTCATTTGTGTCGTTTACATACTAGCGGTGACATTCAGTTTCCTGGTTATAAATGAGACCTTCTACAGTGGCGATGTTGGCCTGGCTATCACACAATCAATGACCCTGGTCATAATGTGTCAGTGGGGCATGAGGCAGACGGCGGAGCTAGAGAATAAAATGACCAGTGTGGAGCGCATATTGGAGTATGCGAGGACCCCATCGGAGCCACCTTTGGAAACAGCAAAGGAGCTAAATCTTGCATCTGAATGGCCACAACAGGGCCATTTACGCTTTTGTAATCTACGCATGAAATATGCTCCGGATGATATCGAAATTTTGAAAGGCTTGACCTTTGAGTCGCAGCCCATGGAGAAGATTGGCATCGTGGGACGCACAGGCGCTGGCAAGTCTTCGATAATCCAAGCACTGTTCCGCCTTGCCATCAATGAGGGGCTTATCGAGATAGATGGTCAGGACATTGCCTTATTGGGCTTGCATGATCTGCGCAGTCGCATCTCAATCATACCACAGGAGTCAGTCCTCTTCTCCGGAACATTGCGATTCAATCTCGATCCGTTTGGAATGAAGAGCGATGAAGAGCTTTGGAACGCACTCGAGGACGTGAAGCTGAAGAAATACGTGGCCAGCTTGGAGGGAGGCCTCTCATGCTATATGCAAGACGGCGGATCGAACTTCAGCATGGGCCAAAGGCAATTGGTTTGCTTAGCCCGAGCCATCCTCCGCAATAATCGAATACTCATTATGGACGAGGCGACTGCTAATGTGGATGCGGAGTAAGTAATTATTGGTTACCTGCAAATTTCGATGGGTCTAAGTAATAATTATTACAGCACTGACAAGCTTATACAGGAAACAATTCATACCAAGTTTGCCCAGTGCACGGTGTTAACCATTGCTCATCGTCTTCACACAGTCATGGACAACGACAGCGTCCTGGTTGTAGATGCAGGAAAAATAATCGAATTCGGAGCCCCACATAAGCTCTTGCAGCTGGAGAATGGTGCTCTCTTAAAACTAGTTAAACAAAATGATAAGGTCACAGTTAATCAACTCAAGAAAATTGCTGCAGATAGTTACATGCGTAAGAACAAATAAAGCAAATTTAGTCTTAGAAGAATTGATTACTTTTAGGTAACGGTTGTTTTGACCACATATACATATTTTCAGATCCCAATCAATTTCTGTAGCTCACATAGAATTTGCCTTTTAAAAAATATGTTTAATTAGTTCACAGTCCATTGCAAGTAAAATTTTCACTTCAATTTCAATTACGAATATTCAACGGGGCTTAAGACAAAAGTCTAACTTCTTTTCAGTCACTAGAATTTGATCATGCGTTTTATTGGGCAAAAATCAGTACCAAATTTGTCCGTCTGATGAGAGATGGGAGTTGCCAAGAAATTTACATTTAAGGGTTATCGATTAATAAAACAACAAGCTCATATACCAAAGCCGACTGCTATGAAATGTAAGCCAATCCAATCAGCAGTTGTGATTTGAATTAGGTCAGATATTACTTTATTTAGTTATCTGCTCCAGTCTACTTATCCTGTTCATTTGCTATTAAGCGAAAAGTCGCCGGTAGCATTTAACCGTCGTTCAAGTCGCGCGACAATGATTACCGCTAAAATTGACCGCCCGCTGAGCAGTGGGCGTTGCCAAACAATTGAGCTGTGCCACAAACTACGTCATCACTTTTTTTTACTGGCAGAGGCAGGGCTAGAGGCAGAGGCACTGGCAAGTGGCCACCACATGCTCGGTGGGTGGTTTTTGTAATTATGGACATGCGCCACCCATTCCGTCACATTTCAGTACATTAAGCGCTGAAAGCGTTCTAACTACACATAACAACAGCAAGAGCAAAAAACTGAGACTCACTCAAAATCTGGCTGGCACTTATGTGGACGGAAGCCGATGGGCGGAACTAGAGCGAGTCCAGACAGACAGTGATAGAGGCAGAGACAGAGACAGACTTAGATACGAGGGTCGGTGAGTTGGTCGATGGGTCGGTGGGCGTTGCAGAAAAAGAGGGTTCCCAAATTGCTAGCCAGGAGATGACAATGATGTGCTTTTTGTGTGCAGCTAGCATCTTTTTTATTATTCCCAGATTTTTTTCTTGATTTTTTTTGCTAACTCACCAAGTATTATATATACTAGTATATATCCATATATACAGTATTTATTTCCATCTCTTTCTCTTCCTGTATGTGGGTGTTGGCAGTTCCGAATGCTGTGGCATAAATTGTCCGTCGGTTTTTTAGTCGCCGTTGATTGCTTTTGCACCCAGCTCGGCTCGGCTCGACTCGGCTCAGCGGGTAGCCGGTAAAACTGAACTTGTCGGCAGGAATATCAATTACTTAACTGAAACTCCAGGATCTTATCTGAGCAATTTTATCAATTATCTGACGCGTGCACGTGTCCTTCTTGGGATGGGCAGACCGCAATGGTTATAAACAACATTTTGAACAGGGCACGTAGATATATCGATGGTTGGCCTCGTAACTCATCTTAAACGATCTCACTCTCATTCTCTCTCTCTCTCTCTCTCTCTCTCTCTCCCTCACGCCCATTCCCCTCTTCGCGGGACCACACATCGTGCTCTACCAACCTAACGAATCGAAGTACGTGCACACGACCAAATTTGCTTTATTATGCGGTCAGGATCAGGATGCGACCTCTGTGGCAAAGCGGAAGTGTTTGCCCAGTGATAAATGTCACAAAGGTGGGCCACATACAGAGGTGGGCAGCTGATCAGATTTTATAATCCGCACGTTTTCCCATTGGCGAAGCCGTCTAGGTATTCACCTTGAAGCTCTTCCAAGCTTCCAGACTGGGTCACAATATAAAATATTTATATTTAATTAGCTTGCACGAAATTTTGGACAGTGTTTGATGAATGGCTTCCTTCGTGACAAAAACTCCCCAAACTGCAGCCGCCAGCTGTAAATCGATTTCAATATTTTCCAAGCTTCATTGAGTCGTTTATTTTATTGATTACGATAGTTGTTAATCTAGGCACATCCAGTCGGCTCTCTTTTTGTTTATTTTTTATTATTATTACCTATATGAAATAGTTATCAGGGGTATAGCATAATTTGAAAATGTCGGAATATAACTTTTATATTATGCATTCCGTATTAGGAATGATGATTCGGTGAAAATGCCAATCGATTTTATTTATTTTCCTTTACTTTATATATTAACGTTAGTAAACAAATGCCCCCAGGAGTATTTTTATTAACAATAATAATTCACAGTTTACTCAAATTAATTTCTACGTAAATGTATATCTGTCTTATTGTGCTCACTGTCGCTTCGCTTCTCTCTTATATTCGTTATGCTCCTTCTCTATCTTGCGTTGTTTCTGTAGATGTCTTGGTCTTTCACTTTTCTAGATATATGACCATTGGATCTTTTTCTTTCTCTTTTTCTATTCTAATCTCTCTCTCTCTATTTATCAAAGCCAGAGAGATTCTCTTATTCTATCATGCTTACAGGGTACCTTATAGTCAAGCTTTCATCCATTTCTTCAGTCCGCTGTTGTTCCCATTACAATGGCATCATGAATCGCATTTACTTTGAGTAATAATTAGATATTCAAATTGTTTGTGGAAATGTCAATTGTCGGTCACTTCGTTCGGGGGCGTTTAGCCTGAGTGAGTGTGGGCGTGGCATTGTTTAGGTGCAACAGCGGCAGGCAATAATGAACATGCATTGTAAATAATGTATTAAGACATTAAATCGCTCATTGAGGCAATTTACATTCATTATTATATTACGAACTCAGCGTACGTGCCCATAAGCCATGGGAATCGGAGAAGGGCTCGACGAGAGCGGGAGTCGGAGAGGCAGACAGAGACGGTGGCGAGACATGCCCGAATACGTTCCCAATCTCATATTTGTTGGGAAATTAATAAAATCATAAAAATGTAATTAATTAATTCACAAGACAGCAGAAAAAAAATTAAAGAGAAAAGAATAAAGAAAAAAATGCATTGCCGCCACAGTCTGTGGATGGGCTGCGGGTCTTGGGTGCTCCTCTGATTAGCGATTCAGGTGCGTGAGTGCATTTTTTTCGGTTTTCAAGAGAATTTCTTCAGCGACGACCGTGACAGACCCTAGCAAACGAGTCTTCGGCTGCCCCCTTTCCGCCTCTACTCCGTGTCCCCTCCGGAATGAATTGGCGACTGACAGTCCGATTGACAGATACAAACTAAAGTGGGCAGCAAATGCGATCGTCAGGGCGGCCTCTACAATTGCAATTGCTACTGCTGATTGTTGGTTACTACCCACCGCATCAGTGTTGGCACTAGAGCCATTTCCTGGTCAAATCTAGCCGTTATTAAAGAATTCCTATGCCCAATCTCTGGTTAATAAGTTGCTTTCAGTTAGGCGCTCTGGCAACGGACAACGAAACTGCTAACAAAATCTTAGGTTTTAAAAATGAGCCACATGTTTCGAATTTCAACCTCTAGCAATTCTCTGCTTCTGCTCAAACAAAAAAGGCCGAAGGCAAATGGAGGGCGTGTCCACGCCTTATGACAAATTATGACAGCGAGCATTTCGCATTTGATTTATGACCCCCGCTGCATTCAACTATGACCCCCTTTTCTTTCCACGCGGCGGCTATGCCAACAGATTTCCTGTTGCCGACTTTTGCCAAAATGTTGCTTCCTAATAGTTTCTGCAGATATATTTTCAAATCGTGGTCATACGGACTTTCTAGGCAAACTCGTTAACTGGGCTGGCGATAAGTATATTTGAATGTGCTGTCAGATGTAGCGAGATGAAAGTGGACTGAAGATAACCTTCAGATAACCCTCAGACCAGTACTTATAATCGAAATAAGTCCTTTAATAGAGCTTTAGGGATATATGTGTAGAGCATACAAAATGCGCTGGGTGAGAACACGGACTACATGTCCTGTTCGGGGTTACTTTTACATAAGTTTTAAGTGATTTTTAACGTGGTGCATTATGGCTGTTTAACTGTTTAAAGCGACACAAATCCGGACGTAATTAATGGTGAAATAATTTACAACCGAAGCTTTACAGATGCAGATCCGGCCAGACAGACCCAGAATGTACCCCAAAGGGGCTACACTGAACTTTGAACGAGGTTCTATGAAAACCATTTATTGCTAATATAAACTCAAATAGCAAATGTAGAAATCTTCTGTCTCATGCGAATCTCTTTTGTCCTTGAGTATTTCATTGATTCTTTCATTATAGCTCACTCTGTAGTCACCGCAGCCAAGCAAAACACATCCACTCCGCATCAGCATCGTTAGCAGCCAGTGATACTTTGTTCATTTGCCGCAATTTGTGATTTCGAATACCCCTAAAAAGTTGAAAAGAGCAGTAGCAGTAGCGATAGCAGTAGCTGTAGCAGTTGTTGTATTCTCGCAGCCGGCACCCAAAAATTCCTTGTCTAAGTGTTACAATAATAAAAACTCATGCTTGGAGGCGTGTCCCAACATAAAACTGCAAACGAAACGAGCAGTGAGCTGCCGAGCATCGGTACGACAGACGCATTCAACAATACAATAATACCAGAAGGGTGCCTGGCCATAGAACTTCCCATTTACAGGGTGGTTAGAGCCACACATACACGATACTCGCTCATGAAGTAAATAAGGTGAGCATATTGAGTTCCGCCTGAGACTTTAAAATCGCTACATATAATAGTAATTCTTTTTCTCGGATGTGAATTCCTAGGGCTATATGAATCGGGATATCCGCTATCTTGGATTATATTTGACACAGAGATGACTGCGAATTGGCTATGGGAAGTACAATGTAAAATGTACAAAATTGTGATTATGAACGAGTATTATGTAGTCGTGCGCACTCGTCACCAATATGCTGTTTTTTTTTTTTTGGTTACTCTGCAAACAAAAGTCAATTGTCGCAGCCAATAAGTCGCTAATGCAATTAACAATTCACACACACATACACAGAGAGAGGGAGAGAGAGAAGCTGAAGGCTGAGGGAGAGGGCTCAGGGCTGAACATTACAAAACTAATAACTCACCATGTGTGAGCCCTCCTTTCTCTCGCTCTCTGTGAAGAGGCGTGACACGTGAGACACCTGGAGTGATTGTTTGATATGGCCGTGAGGAGTAGTCGCTATCAAATCTCACACAAACTCATTCCCTCTTTCTCTCTCACACTCACTCTCACTCTCAGTCTGTCTGTATTTGCGACAATTTGGTGCGTTAAATTACAAAAATTAGTCACACGACGAACTGGGAAAAGGCTCAACAACATTTTGCCTTCGGGGCCTGCCGTGTTAAATCGCACAAATTGGCAGTTTAATTGTTCCAATTGACACCAAATTTTGTTTTGGCCCTTAAGTGGTCCAGAATAAATGGGCAACTGGGAACTGATTTTGTCAGCTTGGAGGCGTGCACCGATAGCCAGGAATTTATTGCACTGGTTACCAGTGAATTATTAGCAGTATTTAGGTCCTTAAGCAGCTCAACTAGATAATTTAACGAGCACTGTTCATCACTCGAGCTAGCACAACACACACACAAAAGTACATGTACGTATGTAGTCGCATGAGAACGTGCGTGCATATGTGTGCATTGTTGATTTTAAAAAGTTCTCTGTTGAAATTGAAATTGCCACGAGAAAATGAGATATTCTATGTGTATATAGGAACACATATACATGTATGTATGTTGACGCTTTTAAAATGTGCAATGTTGCATATGAGGGAAGAATTTGAGAGCGCAGTTGCGAGACTTTTTAAAAGAGAGGCTCTCTCGCTCAACCGCACTATGCACAAGGCTGCATTGCTCCTCTTTTAAAAGAGAATCATTGCTTCAAGCACATACATAAACATCACAAATACATACACTTGAAAGCGCTGTTGCGAGACTTACCAAAAGAGAGAAAGAGGCTGTCTCGTTCGATCGCACTAGGCTTAAAACTACACTGCAGGAAAATATTGGGCATTGTGCATAAAAGCATATTGAGAGTAATAGACTATCTCGCTCGCTCACACTAGGCTTGAGGGGGGTCAGCTCTTATGAGAGCTATCGATGAAGTAAGATGGGTCATATTAATTGTTTATGCGGAGATCAACGGAAACTGTTGTTCAGCTCGTGCTGGCTGAGTAATGTTGTCAAGCTATTGAAGAATTGTCAAGTGATTAAATTTAAATCTAGAGTTTCGCTCGAATTAAATTGTGTGTTTATTTACAAAAGTTTGTTTCTATACTTAAGCCAAATTCTAGGGGGAGGGACATATATTATGTACAGCAATAAATTTTAACGAATATGTTATTCGAATAACGAATATATTATTATTTGGCTCCTTCAGTATATACTGCGCGCTAGGGCGAGCGAAGCAGCAGCAGGACCAATCGGTGGCATGCCCACACCCATGGTCACGCCCACTCCGACGCCCACACCGACAGTCGAGGCAGAGCCAACAGCGCTGGCATTGAACTTTTCAAAGCCGCTGATCGCTTCCGTTGGCAGTTTCTTGCGCAGATCCGGTTTGGGCCCGCTTAGGCACATTTTCTCCAGCTGCTGGTGCTGCGAGCGCACCGCAAAGCGATTCACATGCACTGGTATGGGCACCACAATTTTGGTGCCGCTCGAACCGCCATTTCGACCCAAGCCATGAGACGTGAGTCCGGCCTTAACGCGTTTCCATTTAGCGCGACGATTTTGAAACCAGATTTTAACCTAGACCAAAATAAGGTGGGAGAAGCAGAACAGACACATGGACAGTTAATATAACGTATGATATCGACAAGAGAGAAAAATTAAGAAAATGTTATACTTCAATTTTGTATAATGTATGTATATGTAATATACTTTTTATAGTGGATCGTCAACATACCTGAACTTCACTCAATTTCAGACTTGTGGCTATTTGACTGCGCTCCGTTAGGCTAAGATACTTTTTAGCGTGGAATTCGCGTTCCAGTTCGAGCAACTGCTCCGACGTGAAGGCTGTGCGTCGCCGGCGAGATTTGGAAGAGCTATTGCTGCCCCCGCTCTGTGACTCCTTGCCGCCGGCTTCATGGCGCGAATGACTGCCCTCGTCATCGCTGCAATCCTCACTGTCCGAGTTTGTATAGGCTACGAAACGAGAAAAAATAGCACATAATATAATAATTTGGAGAAAGCCGTGAATAAAATCATTTCCGTTTAAAAATCAATGAACAATTACTTAAAGTATCTTATTACCAATTCATTTCCCAAATGACTTGAGCTTTCGAAGATTAGATGCGCATCCCCATTAACACTACTTAACGAACTTCAGACTCTGACACCGATTGCGACTTCTGTCGTAAATGGACTGTGTCATAACATTTGTGGCAAACATATTTAACTATAACTGGATACATGTGTGAGCCCCTTCCAAGCCATTCCAGCCACAACAGCAAACTGCAATTTGTGACCTAAGCCAACTGAGTGAGCGAGTATGAGTGGGAGGAAGACAAAAAGAGGGAGAGAGAGAGAGGCAGAGAATGACCACGTTCGAGTGAAGGAGTGCTGTTTAGCCCGTTCATCCCCTTTGAGATGCCTGATTATTTTGGTTAACGCTTAAACGCTTTTTTAACACTTACACGCTTCAAATATGCCCATCGTCTGCCCTGTCACTGATTTATTTTCACGGCGGGGGTAGATCATTGTTGAGAGCCGTGCTGTGCATCGCACCCCAACATCATATGAAATTCAGTTATGAATACATTATATTTCACTGTGTACACCGATTCGTTTCGCCTAACTTCTGCAGAGGAGACCGCAGACAGAAGAAGTCGTGGCGATGTGGTTTACTAAAACTTTTCTCTTCCATTCCATTTCAATGACTAAATCGTTACGTTTGTCAAAATGTCAGCTCCATTTTTGATGCTATTGTTATTCTCCCTCTTTTTCTCTCTCTGTCTCTCTTTCTATCTCTCTCTCTTTCTTGCTCTCTGGTTGTCCTCGGAGAACTTTGCAGCTTTTGATTGACATCAAACATTGGGTCGTAAATGCGTTTTATGCTAATTTTGTCTATGACTTGACTGCCTCATTTTAATTACCATGACAAAACCACTTTAGACCGACTACAAGGAGAAGAAGTAAATGAAGCTTGTCTTGTCGAAATGGAGAAACAGTAATAGAAGCTTGCAATATTCGTTTCGTTAGTGCAGTAAAAGGCTCCCATTTCTTATTTTAGGGTGCCTTAAAATAATAAATTATTCTTACCATAGGTTAAACACGCAATAAGAATATACGATTATCTACATATAAAGATCTAGTTGCTGTAGACATCGGCAGGTCCTTAATACTTATTTTATATAAGGCAAATATTACTCTTAAAGTGATGTGTGAGCATTCCAATGCATAACTTCATATTTATCAGATTCAACCCCGGAAAAAAACAAATACAGGTCAACTTGTATCAGAGGTACTTCAGACTATAAAGTAGCTTATTAGCCTAATATTAATCCAACAAATATAACATTTGATTTGTTTTTAAGCTTAATAAATTATTTGCTTAGTTTCAGCTTCGCTACCTACCTCCATTGCGACTCTTTTCGAGCTCCGTACCGTAGTTTTGGGGCGACATGGTGAGACTGATATCGCTGCAGGAATCACCACTGCATTCGAAATCCTCGTCCATGCCTACATCGACAGCCGGCTCCGCAGGACTAGTTGATTTCGATGGCGATGATGGCTGGGGTGGCGATGGCTCCTGTTGGTTCGGGACCAGACCCATGGACTGATGATGATGCTGATGCTGATGTTGACTCTCAGCCATGTGCTGGAGTCTGGCATGTACGCTCAGACTGTGCACATAGTCCTGATTCATGAGTTCCGCGAGGCGGCGATAGTTTAGATCCGAAGGAGCGGCAGCAGCAGCTGCTGCAGCAGCGGCGGCTGCAGCGGCGTTGAAGGGCAGGAACCGAGTGTCCAGCGGATGAGGCAGAGGTAGCTCATTGGGCTTTGTCGGACTGAGGCTGAGGCTGTCCAAGGCATGTGACTGTGGTTGTGGCTGTGGCTCCTTGCCGGCAAACGGCGCACCTGGGTAACCGCCGCCAGTACCACCGCCACCGCCGCCGGCAATTATATGTGAGAGCCGTTCATGATTCTGGGCAAAGTAGCCATGCAGCCAGGGATTGTAAAGTGGGAACTGTGTCAGGCCCAGCATAGCACGTGCATTAAGCTCTCGACTGTTATCCTTTTCCATTTCCTGCGCTCGGTTGCTATCGCGTTCCAGTTGCCTTTCCCGTTCTCGCTCGTGTTTTCTCTCCTGTTCCTGTTCTTGATCAGCATTGTCAGCAGAAACAGCGGCGGTTGATTGATTCGCAATCAGACTTTCTATAGAGAAGGGTTTCGGCAACGGTTTACTGATCAGCTTGCTGCTGCTCTCTACCGGCGGCGGTGGCAACAGCGCCGTATGCTCGTTTTGCATTATCAACTTCGGTTTCGTTTTCTCGCTTTAAAATTGCTCAAGACGCGCGACACGTGACGCAGTGAACCGTTCAAAGATCTGCGCGTAAATGAAAGCCAATGCTGCCGCATGCACAGCTCACAGCTCGCCGCTCACTTGCCCAGTCGAAAACAACCACTGCACACATACAATCGATGCGAGTGTGAGCGAGAGAGAGCAAGCACGAACTAGCTCCGCCTCGTTAATGACCAATATGGCGCGCTGTGTGAGAGCTCTGGGTGCCTCTGATTGGCTGTGCGCTAATTGCTGTCAAACCGGTTGAGCTTGTCTGTTTTCTATTTGTGTTTGGGGTTGTTCTTGGAGCCACACACCCGGGGACATATACAAGAGCCTCTAATTGCTTACTTCTTGATGCATGCGGCAATCAGACTAACCATGAATAAAGACAATATCGATATGGCTCTGTTAGCAGTTCCTTAGCTGTGCTTATGCCATGGCGTGGGCAACATAGCTAACTCTCAGGTGGCATATTAGCCGGCAGTAGGGTTTGATTACGTGAGTACAGGTAGGGCAAGCACCTGCCTATACTAGGCAAAATCAATTGAATATGAGTATCAATTAACTTTAAGATACCACTTTCAGGGAATTCATGACTTTATCAGTTTGACGAGTAATTTGCTAGAGTTCTCTTCTCATCTCATCTTAATTGCTCTCAGATATACCAAGTTCCGCCTTCAGTGTTAATTTGTTATGCGAGCCACATTTAACACGTTTGTCAATTTGCATTTGTGACTTAAATTGGCCATAATTGACCAAAATTTTGGCAACATAAAAAAAATCAAGCGTTTGTAGGTAATTAAATAGCATTTGGTCACGTTTGAGTGTCTGAAATATTTTATGAGCGCTTTAAATCGCAATATTTTGTTTGCATTGGGCATAAATTAAAATATAATTATGCGCCTTGTCGGCGATTATTGTTATAATGATAAACAGGTCTGTGATTTTCATTTGGCGTTGATTCAAGTTTATTTGGCATAGAGCTTGCATAAAGATATTTTGTGTTTGCTGCACATGTGTATGTGTAATATATATGTATGTAGATGTTGCTGCTTGCTGCTTGCTGTTTCTTCCTTCTGCGGAAAACGGACAAATTAACGAAATGCAACGAAGCGTTTCATGCGCTCAAATAAATCAGGGCGCTGTTGACACCCGGGATGTTGTCTATATAAGTGTGTATGTATGTAGTGGGGGCATCACACAAGTACAGATACAGATGAATATCGAAATTATTTACTGACAAATTGTTTTGAATACTTCACATATTTGCGACTCGTTTGCAGCGCTCAAAAATGCGCACAAAATAAAACACAAACAATTACAACTGCATCAACTGTGAGTGCATCAATGTATCAATGTATATGATGATGATATGATCAGTGCTGTGCATTAAGCCATTTTCAATCTGATTGGCTTGGAATATACATACATACATATGTATATTTCTCATATGTCTCCTATTCGAACCGCTGATGATAACACTTTTTTTTTTCTTGAGCTTTCGTGTATACGAGTTTACGTCTATGCTTATAAGCCCCTAAATTATATCCTTCGCCTAATACAAATTTAATAACCATTACAATTCATGGCTTATATTCGAGCGGCAGTGTCGAACATGTGTTCGCAGTTAACCGCAACATCAGCTCATAACGTGAAGCTGTCCAATGTTTACCCAGCAATTGACACGCCTCCTTTAGTAATTTGTAGGCTGGATCCTGTATGGGCACAACTGCCCTTCGTAATTGTGTTATTTTAACCCTTTCCACAGGCTTTACTTGTAAAACTGTAATTATGGCTGGAATATCAATGTTGTTTATACAGTTTAATTGGAAATTGTGTAGTAATTACAGTTATTAGTTCGCTTGTTATGTGTATGCATAGTTTACATGTATGGTAATTAGTAGCTCATAGTTGAGCACGGTCTTTGATCTATTGACATATTGCAAAGCAATTATTGACGTGCCAAGTGTCATATCATGCAGCTTCAAGCAGTTTGCGATACCATTTCGATTGCATAGCTATCGACTTTCGGGTTAGAATTGAATTTATGTTGCCACTACAATGACTATGCCATTTTTGCGACCAGGTGGCAATATTTCTTTTCTCTAAAAACGTTTTGCGATTCCGTGTTGCACCCGCTTTTTATAGGTAAATAATTATTAATTTAAGCTGACATCACGTCTTAAAAGTATGAATTGAAAATTGAGCAAAGAAGAGAAGAAATTTAACTATAATATTTTGTATATATTTTATGCAATTATAACAAAAATAAAGATAAAATGAATCTCGAAAAATCAATGAGAAAAATGCACCTCATCACCGGCTGATTATAAAACACAGAAAATGAATAGTATTGTTCTTTTTTTTTTTTTTCATTTGATAGGTAAAAATGCCCGAGCTAACTGAAATCAAAAACGAAGCACCTTCGACCTCCGCGGAGGCGAAGCAACCGGAGGATGGGGATGTGCGCGTTGAGGATGATGGCAGCGAGAGCGATTCGGATATGATTCCCGAATTGGAGGAGGCCGAAATCGGAACCACACAACTGGGCGGCGGTGCCACGGGTTTGCCCATTGATATGGTATCGAAGGCAAAGCAGTCGCGCGGAGAGAAGAAGGCGCGCAAAATCATGCTAAAACTTGGTCTGAAGCAGATTCAAGGAGTTAACCGCGTGACCATTCGCAAGTCGAAGAATATCTTGTTCGTCATCAATAATCCGGATGTGTACAAGAACCCCCACAGCGATACCTACATTGTTTTCGGTGAGGCTAAGATCGAGGACTTGTCACAGCAGGCTCAAGTGGCAGCTGCTGAGAAGTTCAAGGCGCCAGAAGGACCTCTCGCTTCTGACAGCGTAGGTGCCACTACATCAGTGGCTCCAATCGCCGAGGAAGATGAGGAAGAGGTCGACGGAACGGACGTCGATGAGAAGGACATTGAGTTAGTTATAACGCAGGCGAATACGACGCGTGGAAAGGCCATAAAGGCGCTGAAGAACAACAAGAACGACATCGTAAATGCCATCATGGAGCTGACAATGCTCTAAGGCGCTGGAACGCAGGAACATCGTTGCTTTCGTTTATTACCCGCCTTTCGATAAACTACAAATAAACAAATCCCAAATGTTATGCTTATATGCATGTTAAGCACCAGTCGAACATTTAACAAAATAACATGAGAAGAATAAAGTTGCATGCTTTTTAAAGTCAAACACCTCGGAGCTTTTTATATTTCGATTAATTCCAACTAGTATCTGAATTAACTATATCCACAAAATTTCAAAAATGTATGTTTGGCTAACTACGATCTAAAATAACTTGCTTTGGTTAGCTTCAATGGGACAAAACACCGTAGATTATAGTAGAGAAGAGTTAAGTACAATTTCATACAGCAATCAATCCATCTACGTTGCATAGACAGAGGTGTCTTTTAGGATTACTGCATTTGGTGGGCTTCGGGCTCCGCTCTCAGTACACGAGCTTGGCTGCGTGACTGCAGGCGTATTTCTGCCGGCGCCTGCATCCAGGGCTCGCCATCGGCCTGCATGGGTACCGTCCCATTCACTCGTAGCTGCAATCAAATATTAGAGTATATCAATCAAAAAGCCTGGTGGGCCATTGGTTTCATACCCTTATCTGCTTGGCCTGGCCAATGCGCACAGGTTTACTTATGTTGCACTGCAGCTGAGCAATGTGGAAGGAGGAGACTATGCCAAATACTTCCATCATACCATCAGAAATGGAGTTCACGATGCGAGTTTCGCCATTCGAGTTGCTCAGCTCGCATAGTTTGCAACCGGCTCCCCAGGAATCAATATTTAGGAACACCAACGATTGCAACTCCGGCAGTTCGACTAGCTTGTTGTCTAGATGAAGTTCTAGTTTCTTATCAATGCGTTCGCAGTCCGGCTGCATGACCTGATGTGTACCAAACGTGAAGTACAGCAGCTATGAGGGTATAAACGACTATAAAAAATCTTAAAAGAGATGTAATTAGGTGTTGTATTACCTTGTTAAAAATTCGACTGCTGAGCAGATAAAATCGAGATTCGCGTGTCTTATGAAAATTGTAGGTGATGTATGCGTCGACTCCCACGCTGAAATAGTTGTATACGTGTATGGTCTTCAAGGGCTGCATTTGGATGGGAAGACGATAGTGCAGCTTTTCAATTTGAAGATCATATCTATCAAGATTTACGGATTTGGCACGTCTTATGTTTCGCAGTATCTGCAGAGGATCGAGCACTGAAGGCGGCTCAGCGCCCCAGCCCAAAACACGCGACAAATCGTTTCCAGTGCCCAGTGGCATGATAGCCACAGATGGTTGAGGTTTTATGTTTAGGGTGTAGATGGTGTTAAGCACCCAGCCGATTGTTCCATCGCCACCGGCAACTAAAATACGACAAGGGCGTGGACTCGTTTTAGCTGCCCACTGGAGTGCATCATGCGGTCCGCGTGTACCCAGCTCCATCACCTGCATTGGATGCAGATAACCACGCAATAGCGATAAAACATTTGCGGCCGTGCTGCTCCCAGATTTTGTATTGGCTATAACAATTAATGGCTCCCAGTTTTCAATATCAGGTGGCTTAATGCCTGCGAGATGCAAACGTACAGATTCACGTGTCCTGGCTGCTACAATGCTATAGGGCGGATATATCATGTCCCGAAACTCGCCAAAGTCGCATTCACCTTTGATATCCACTTTCTTGTAGCAGGTGTCGTGGTAACAACGTTGACACCAGGCACATCGCCAGCCAAATAGACCTGGTCCCGAACTGCTACTATGATCCTGTTCAGCTTCATGCCCGCACCCCGAGCAGCTGTAATTCATTGGCAAATTGCCGCGGACCCATAAATGACGCACTGCATTCGTATTTCTTAGCCATTTGTCTTTGCAGCGATAGCGAGAGTCGGCTTGCCTTTGACATGTTGGCTCCGAGTGCGTGCAAAGGCCACAACAGTCGCAGAAGAGACCAGCAGACGGTGTCAATAGAATCTCACACACATTACAAAAGCAGGCCTACGATGTGATAGCTATATAATAGTAATAAGTACGCATGAACTTTTTTACACGTACCTGTTCAATGATTTTTATTGATTTCCAACTATGACGTGTTTTGCCCGATATGCAAATGACAACATCTTCCGTTAAAATGCTGCGACAGAAGATGAAAAGCATGCTCAGGGCCACCAGCGAGCCAATGAGCGCTTCCACGCTGAGCTCAATGCTGGCTATATCCATATCTGTTTGCCTCTGTAGTACTGATTGCCTGAGGATTTTTACATTTTTACATATCTCATGTTTATGTTAGTGGTTTTATATTCAATTTAATGTTTCAACTAATTATAGCCAGTGCTGCAAAACGCATAGACACAGCTGACCGAACCCAATTGTATGGCTAGTGGCGGTATCTTTCCGTTTTGTGATTGTGATGTTGGTTTTCCAGAAATTTGATTATTTATTGAGAATATGCTTAAAGTTAAATTGTAGTATTGTTTTGTTTTCATCTTGTTCTTTAAAGTGATTAGATTATCAAATTAGATTTCTTTGGGATTTCGGAGGAGACGATAGTTACTTGTTCGATATATTGTTTCGAATATCGGATAGTTTCTTTTCGCCAAGCAGTGTTGAGAAGCCCGTGAGCGGCACTGCACGTGGAGGCATATATTTTTTAAACAACGTTTTTCGGTAGCGAAACGTGAATTAAAGGGAATAAAATATGGGACGCAAAGCTGAATATAGTGAAAAGCAAAAGAAAGGGCCTGGTCGCAAGGCCCGCAAACAGGGACCGCCTAAGTTCCCAAAGAAATCATTCGGTACTTAAAACTCTGCTAATCTCATTGATCAAATATATAAAAATGTTTATTTGCAGCGCCGCTCGACGATGAGGATAAGAGATTGTCACACCGTCAAAAACAGCGCGTTGCCAAGCGGGAACAAAAAAAGCTAGTGCAGAAAGCTAAATCAAAGGATAAACGCGCTCAACAGCCCCGTAAGCAAAAAGAGTATCACAGCGAGAGCGACAGCGAACCAGAGGCCCAGCAACCGGTGGAGTCATCAGACGAGGAAGTGCCACAACTTGTGCCAATCAAAAAACAAAAGTCAAATGGTTTCACGGACGATAATAAAGATTGGTTAAAGTTAAAGTCGAAGCAGCAACAGAAAACTAGGAAACAACAATTAGAGGATCTGCAAGAGAAAGAAGAGACGGAGAATGAATTCGAAGGTGACTCAGATGAGGAAGTTGAAAACGACGAGGCATATGATGAAACAGATGGAGAAGAGGAGCAATCAATCGATGACGATAACGAAGCTCAAGTTGGTAAATTGGACGATCTTTTTGATGACGACGATGAAGATCAGGAAACAGATGAAAATGAGGACAATGAAGATGATGATGACGAAAACGATGAGGATGATGATGATGATGATGATGATGATGACACGTTGCCTATTGAGCGTGCCAACAAAAAACTTAAAAAGCGTCAGGAACAAGATGACAAATTGGCACAGGAGGAGATGCAGATGTCTGTCGATCAGTCGGAAGTGTTTCGTTTACCAGAGCCTGGAGAAGACGCTGACAAGGAGCTATCCTTACAGGATGTACAACAGCGCATTAAGGACATTATTCAGGTACTCTCTGACTTTGGAAAATATCGGCAGGAGGGTCGCTCGCGCAGCGAATATGTAGATCAGCTTCGTTCGGACCTATGTTTGTACTACAGTTACAATGAGTTTCTCATGTCCAAATTAATGGATATATTTAAGTTGAGCGATCTTATGGAGTATTTGGAGGCCTCAGAGGTAGGCTATAAATTTTTGAAATTTAAATCAGTCTATTTGATATATAGTATATATATAAATTATTTTTCTTTATTAGGTAGCGCGTCCGTTGACTATACGCACAAATTCCCTAAAGACACGCCGTCGAGATCTTGCTGGCGCCTTAATTAATCGAGGTGTCAATCTCGATCCATTAGGCAAGTGGACAAACGTGGGCCTTGTTATATTTAATTCTACAGTTCCACTGGGCGCCACGCCCGAGTATCTAGCTGGACATTATATGATACAGGGCGCTTCGTCGATGCTGCCAGTGATTGCATTGGCACCGCAGGAGAATGAACGAGTGCTAGATATGTGCTCTGCACCTGGGGGCAAGGGATCACATATAGCTGCTGTTATGAAGAACACGGGAGTGTTATTTGCCAACGATGCGAATAGGGATCGGATCAAGGCCGTTGTGGCCAATTTCCATCGGTTGGGCATTGTGAATGCTATTGTCAGCTGTGAGGATGCGACCAAGTTTAGAAATATAATGACAGGCTTTGATCGCGTACTGCTCGATGCGCCTTGTACTGGCACGGGTGTGGTTTCCAAGGATCCGAGTGTTAAGACGACTAAATCAGAGATTGATGTGCAGCGTTGCTATAATTTACAGCGCAAGCTTTTGCTTACTGCTATTGATTGCGTGGATGCCAAATCTTCCACTGGCGGATATGTTGTGTACTCCACTTGTTCAGTCTTGCCCGAGGAGAATGAATGGGTCATTGATTATGCTCTCAAGAAGCGAAATGTAAAGCTGGTGCCCCTGGGTATTGATTTTGGTGAGCCTGGTTTCACCAAGTTCCGGCAGCATCGCTACCATCCCAGCTTAAATTTGTGCAGGCGATTTTATCCACATACAAATAATATGGATGGCTTCTTTGTAGCTAAACTGAAAAAGTTCTCCAATACTATACCTATCACCAAGGAGCAACAAGAAGCGGATGAGAAGCAGCTAGATGAAGCACTTGCATCAGATCAGACTGAATCGAATACTGCAGAAACTAAGGAGAAGGCAACGGAAGCCACTGAAGGACGGCGAAAAGCCCTTGGAAAGCGTGCTGGAAAGCCCAGTCTTACAGACGTAGAACATGATTTAAAAAAGAAAAAGCTTGAGCAAAGTAAAACGAAATATGTAGCTAAGGTGTTTGAAAAGCCCATCAAAGTGTCCAGCAAATCGAAGCCAGAGCGAACTTTGCCTGTTTCGAAAAAGAATGAAGAAGAATCCTCCACAGCTTCCCCAAAGGTCCAATCGAAAGAGCAGGCGCCACAATCAAATGGCAATAAGAAACAGAAACCTTCGAAAAACGAGGAACAATCATCACCGCAAGAAAATGGACAGAAGGCGAAATCAACCTCCAAAATAACAAAGAAGCTTTCCCAGGCGCCCCGAGTGGATATTGATGAGCTGCCATTGCTAGAAGGAAAGCCCATTAAAAAGGAAAACAAACTGAAAAATAAATCTAAGCAGCTGGGACAGTTGAAAAAGTTCAAAAAGACAGCGGACAGTAAAAGCAAGCAAAGGTTTAAAAAATAATCATGAATTGGAATTAGTTTAATGAGTCTTATTAAAAACTTTATAGTTGGTTAATTGCGATGCTTAAAATATGTAATATGTAACCAACCAATGCGATTATTTGTTTTTATAATAAGTGCAAACAGATGGATTATAAATATTTTTATAGTCAACACAACAATAAAATGTATTTTATTAAAACTTGCAAATCGTATATATTTTTATCTCAATGTATATAAATATGTATGTACTATAGAATATCACCATGTACCATATTTTTGTACATGAATTGCAGCTGAAATGCAGATAAAGCTCGGGCCTTGGATGGATCGAATGAAACATTTCATGTTCGGTGCGAGAAGTGCGAAGAAGCCGAAATGTTAAGAACTATTTTTGGTGCATTATTGTGCACTGCTTTGATTGTGTCTCAAGGCAAAGCGGATATTAATCTAGCCACGATGCACAGCCTCCGATCGAATCTGGATCGTCGAGTCTCACCCTGCTCGAATTTCTGGTCGTTTGCATGTGGCAATTGGTCTTCTAACTATGTGGACAACTTCCAGCTAGTGGAGCAGAGATATGCCAACGCAATGATCGCGGTGCTGACCAGCAGTCGGCTAAGGGATCCCTCACGTCTCTTCAAACAGCTTCAAGACTACTTCACGGCATGTGTTGCTCACCGAGAGGAGCAGATGCAACTGCCACGGGAACTGCTCTCGGGCGATGGTTTCGAATGGACACGTGCAACGGCCAGGTTTCGCAAACATGGATTGAATGGCGTTTTCTTTGATGAGATGGCCGATGTTGCCTACAACGACTCGTTCAGCTATGTAGTACAGCTCAAGATGCCGGTGGCTGATAACAATTACTCGGTGAGTAATCGTACAAAATATTTTATATTCTGTCCTCTTATATAGCTCTGAAATCAACAACTTCAACTGCCCTTAATTGCAGCCTCTAAAGCCCGAGACTCGGTTGGAAAGAGATCTGCGTGAATTGCGCGAGAAATACGGCAATGAGGACCCACTGCTCCAGCTGTGGACGTTGAGCGAGCTCAAGAGGGAAATACCGCAAATCGATTGGCAAATATACTTCGAAGAGCTGCTGGAAAGGGAGCCAGGTCAGCTGCGCGTGCAGATTAGCGATGTGGAGTATTTCCGAAAACTGGGCGAGCTGCTGCGAGAAAGCAGTAAAACAGCTTTGGAGTCATATCTAAGTGACCGCTTGGCTCAATTCGTAAGAGAAGCCAATTTGGACTCAACCCCGCACAATTGCATACATCACATGAGTGCGGTACTTCCCTTGGGCATGAACCACATCTACGATCGCTATGTGTACAGAACACGGTCGGAAGACATGCGCCAGCTGCAGCAGCTGTTTGACAGCTTGCGCGGAACGTTTGCCAAGTACCTGGAGCACAATCGACTGGAACTAAGCTATGAGCAGCTAAGCTATCTGCACGCTAAGCTGGCGGGTATGCAATTGAAACTGGGCAACCTGCCAGTCAACCTCACGAGCGCTGATTATAGCTTCTATAATGACCACTACGCGAGTGCAAATTTCTCGGCCGACAGCTTTGCGCAGAACTTTTGGCAGGCTCTGCGCCTGCGTTCGCGTCTGCAGCATCTAGCTCTGGGGCAACCAGGTGCGACCTTGCAGCTGAAGTATTACTATGTGAATGACGATTTGTTCAGAGCACGCAATGCGCCCTATTTTGAGCATGAGCGGAATACGTTGACCGTTCCGCTGGTCTTCATGCAATGGCCCTTCTATGACCATCGCCAGCATCCCATTTTTCGACATAGTCTGATGGGATTCATACTCGGCCACGAGCTAAACCACGCCTTCGAGCAAGAGGGCATACTCTTCGATGCTGCGGGCAATGAGGCGCTACTTGGAGTGCGGATACGTCAGAAGGCCAAGTTCCAAGCAGCCTTAAACTGTGCCCAGTACTCACCGACAGCATCGCTGAAGGAGCGATTGGCGGACTTCAATGGTCTCCAGCTGGCCTATGATACATTCTTCGGCTTGGGGCATGACTCGCACCGGTTCGAGTATCGGCCATATGACTTTGAGCGGGAGTTCTTGGCACCACAGCTCTTTCATCTTAATTTCGCGCAGTTCTTTTGCGGCCGCTTGCCAACGGCCATCAACCATGACATGGACGATGTGCGGGTCAATGAGGCCGAACTAAATTTACATCAATTTTCCATTGATTTCAGTTGCACACGGCATCAGTTCGACTCCGTCGGATGTGAGATGTGGCGCGCAGCAAGCCATTAAAGGTAAGAGTGCGATTGGAACTTTCTATAAAAGTGTATAAGTGGTATTCAAATTTAATGTATTTCATAAATATATCTATGTAGGTTCAACTAGATGGTTCGATGACTTCACCTATCTACATTGTATGTATGTATTTATGTATATTGAACTCATTAAAGATTACAATAAAAATTATCCTGATTGAAGTCAACTTATTCATAACTTACTGGACTGCTTTTGAACTTTGACAGACAGAAACATGTGATGAAACATGGGGCTCAATATTAGTTCGATGCGAAAGCAAAATATTGTCAGGCTTAGCAGTCTTTTGAATAAATTATTGATTCGCATTGTTTTCCATATCTCATTCATTTCTGAGTAACTTACGCCACTATCAAAATGTGTTTATTGATACGTTTTTTGCACAGGGTGCTTATTTGTTGTTATCGTAGCAATAAGTAATCGGCAAAAAGTATTAACGGCCCATTCTGTATGATTGTCAATTGCGGGTTTCATGTTAAGGCATAGTCAACGACATTGTCATATTCGCTGTCAATTGAATGCAAATGCCAAAGCATTCTAGACAAGCTAAAATAACTGGCGTGACAGATACTCTGTTTCCCCAATATATCGCAAGGAAGAGAGTTTCTTCGGCATTGAGTCCTGACTTTATAAGCTAGGCACAAGCGGGTGTAACTATGTTGAGGTTTGGGGCAGACAAAAGCATGCTGTACCAAGCCAATATGCTCACGTTCACAGTTCGGGTAAGAAGTATATGCCGGTCTCAGTTAGGTGAAAGCTTTAGCTCTCTGTTCGACACACAGACACAATGCCAGACCTAATCAGGTTGCCATAGCCACAAGTTGTTGCGAGCTTCGCACAGTGGAACTGATTGGAACAAGATGTATCTTTATTTAAATTTAGAGGGCATTATAAATACAAATATATTTAGATAACATACGGCTTGTGGTGAGTAAATATTTAAATATAAATTTTGCGTATATTCGAATTTGCAATGACGACTGCAGATGAATACGTTTTTGAATAATTAGTTTTTGATGTGTTCTGCATTTCGTAATAATTTGTATATTTGGCCCATTGTGCGTCGTGTCGAACGTGTCCTGTATTTTCTTAATTTGTGGGCGTCGTCAGTGCAAACTTTGATTGTGTGTGGGCTTTGCTCGCGCACGGTAAGAAACCGAACGACCAGACGCGAAAGCTCCCTCATGGCCGTAGTACATCGCTGTCATTTGCCGTCATTGGACGTGAGCTTTGCCACGGCATCGTCGGTTGATTTCGTTATCTTGATTGCGAATCTCGTCACAGCCTCCGCAACCTTTATAAAATTGTAGATTCCGAAACGGATTCACGAAACTCCTAAACAAAACAAAAAACAAAGTCATAAAAGAAAAAGAAATGTAAATAATATGTTCAAAAGTATACAATGACAGAAAATTCTACATATTTTTGCATTGCATTTAATTTGTGATCAAATATCCATTTTTATCATTTTGCTATCTGCAATTAAACAAATTGTACGTTAGCGTGCGATCCAAAAGTAAATGTGATCAACAGCGGCGCGTGAGTTTTGAATATATGCTATAAATATATACACATATATATGTAAATATATAGTAATAATAGTTGATATGTGTGCGAGTTAAGTAATAAAAATGATAAAGGCGATAAACATTTAAGGCAGACACCATGTGAGCAAGTGAGTAGATGTGGGTGAGGCGGTAATTTAAACACAGTTCGGACCTTTGGATGGGAAGACTCTCAAGAGCGGTCGATTTCACACTTAACTTATAACAACAACAAACAAAGATTCGCCTCAATTCAGAATACACATATAGACTGCATTAGCACATTGGGCAAATAAACAACCAATAAAAATGATCTTTTCTTAACCAACTGAGTTTGAGCGCCCTGGCAACTGTTGATCACTTAGCAGATCGCCCCATTGGTACACAATGAGACTTTTAAATTGATGAATAAACGTCTGATTAGTCTCATCAGATAAACAATTTTCAAATGCAAACGCACAAAAGCCAACCCAAAGTCAAACCAAGTCAATTGAAGCTATTTTTGTGGGCCTTCCCTTTCCTCCAATATTTTCGTCAATATAATTTGCCAAGTTCAAGTGAAAAAATCTTCTCTATGGTTCTCTTTCAAATACATACGTATATGGCAATTAATTCATGCAAGTATATACAGTTTTAAATATATATATTTTATATATAATAATATCTATCTATCTGCCTCACTCCTCGTTGCAGTGGCTTTTGTGTTGTTGTTATTGCTGTTGACTAAAGATAAACAATTTAAAAGTTTGCAGTTAGTTTTTAGTAGCCTCCAGTGCTTAAAATAAACATTAAATAAAATTCGAAAAAGTTGCAGAATTAACAACACAACTAGACAGAACGCTAACAACGATATTTCAAATTGAAAGAGCAGCGATGTAAAAAATAGAGAGGGAAGTGACGGTGTCGACTACGAGTTACCCTCTGGTTACTTTGAATCAAGTCAATCGAAATAAAGCCTTATTACAGGGCAAGCATGATTAAAATATGCCAGAGCTTACAATAATTAGTTACTGCTCGGACTTGTATTTGTTATGATAGAGCGAGAGTCGTACTCTCTGTAGCGATTTCCACAAATTGTGGAGGGTATGTAGCACCAATTTATTTGTTTATAGCTCTAGATTCTGAATTATTAGGTAAATAGAAATTTTTAATTATACTTAAGTGCCGAGCAGCGAATAGGCGAAGCTGATAGCTAAATGGATTTCTGAGTACGAGTGCAAAATATTTCGCGAATACATTAAAGCA